CCCCCCCCCCAGAGGCGTAGCGACCCTTCCCGGGGACAAACTTTCAAGTTTCGATTTGCACCCCCCCTCCCTCAAACTTTCGATTTGCACCCCCCCCCCCCTTCAAGTTTTTCTCTATATATTTTGCTATTTTTTGCCTTGGTGTCACCCCCTAAATTGTGTAACCCGGTGTCACCCCCCGCGCCCCTCCCCTCGCTACGCCCCTGTCTAGAGGTACATTCTTCCAGAGACAAGCGATGTTCTTATAATGAACCAAGGGGTTGGGGAGGCAGAAATATCGTTAGGCGTGGAACTAATCAACTCTCCATTGATTTTTAAGTTTTGTTCCTCTCTATTACCCATTAGTTTTGATTCCAGTAACGAGTTAGTCAAATGTAAAGTTGAGCCCAGGATCCGCGAACGTCCAGGGGCACGATAGGAAACCTCGCTAATTGGCACGTGATGTTTACATCCGGTCACGTGCCCGCGACCTTGATGGAATGTCCTACCGTTCACGGCACAATCTTGGTGACCTAATCTTGATGGCGCTATTATATTGACCTAATCTTGATGGTGCTATTATATTGACCTAATCTTGATGGCGCTATTATATTGACCTAATCTTGATGGCACTATTATATTGACCTCATCTTAATGGTGCTATTATATTGACCTAATCTTGATGGCGCTATTATATTGACCTAATCTTGATGGCGCTATTATATTGACCTAATCTTGATGGCGCTATTATATTGACCTAATCTTGATGGTGCTATTATATTGACCTAATCTTGATGGCACTATTATATTGACCTAATCTTGATGGCGCTATTATATTGACCTAATCTTGATGGTGCTATTATATTGACCTAATCTTGATGGCGCTATTATATTGACCTAATCTTGATGGTGCTATTATATTGACCTAATCTTGATGGTGCTATTATACTATTCTTGGTGACGCTATTATATTGACCTAATCTTGATTGTGCTATTATATTGACCTAATCTTAATGGTGCTATTATATTGACCTAATCTTGATGGCGCTATTATATTGACCTAATCTTGATGGCGCTATTATATTGACCTAATCTTGATGGCCCTACTTCTAGTCAAGGGCTAGACTGGGGGACAGTCAAGGGCTAGACTGGGGGACAGTCAAGGGCTAGACTGGGGGACAGTCAAGGGCTAGACTGGGGGTTAATCAAGGGCTAGACTGGGGGACAGTCAAGGGCTAGACTGGGGGTCAATCAAGGGCTAGACTGGGGGACAGTCAAGGGCTAGACTGGGGGACAGTCAAGGGCTAGACTGGGGGTCAATCAAGGGCTAGACTGGGGACAGTCAAGGGCTAGACTGGGGGACAGTCAAGGGCTAGACTGGGGGAAAGTAAAAGAAGTAGACTGAGAGACAGTATGGAATCCCCTAATGGCCACGACTTGTTACAACACAGCGTTTATAGGGGTAATAAGCTTTTCCACGAGTCGGTCCTCCGCTGGCTGGAGGTGATATCATTGAGGACACGAGTGCTGGCTGGAGGTGATATCATTGAGGACACGGTCCTCCCTGGCTGGAGGTGATATCATTTAGGACACGGTCCTCCCTGGCTGGAGGTGATATCATTGAGGCCACAGATCGATTGACCCTGATTGACATCAGACTTGACACGCCGAGGGCACGGTGAGTGCTTCGATGGACTTGATAATGGCCGTCATCAACTGGGCTGTGATTGGACTGCAAATCCTCCCCGGCCTGGCCCCACCCTTGCTATCACCAGAACAAAATATTTACAAAACGGGAAGGTTTGATATCGGACACAAGCGGTTGTTTTTTCTAGCACAAACTACCATCAATGTTTTCTGTTCTTGTACCTGCGGCAACTTTTGGCCTTAATATCTTGCTTGTGCCAGTTACGTTTAGCCTTTCATTACTTTCTTGTACTAACCATGTTTTGCCATTCTTTACTTTCTTGTACCAGCCTCGTTTTGCCATTCTTTACTTTCTTGTACTAGCCTCGTTTTGCCATTCATTACTTTCTTGTACTAACCATGTTTTGCCATTCTTTACTTTCTTGTACCAGCCTCGTTTTGCCATTCTTTACTTTCTTGTACCAGCCTCGTTTTGCCATTCATTACTTTCTTTACTAACCATGTTTTACCATTCTTTACTTTCTTGTACTAACCATGTTTTGCCATTCTTTACTTTCTTGTACCAGCCTCGTTTTGCCATTCATTACTTTCTTGTACTAACCATGTTTTGCCATTCTTTACTTTCTTGTACTAACCATGTTTTGCCATTCATTACTTTCTTGTACCAGCCTCGTTTTGCCATTCTTTACTTTCTTGTACCAGCCTCGTTTTGCCATTCATTACTTTCTTTACTAACCATGTTTTACCATTCTTTACTTTCTTGTACTAACCATGTTTTGCCATTCTTTACTTTCTTGTACTAACCATGTTTTGCCATTCTTTACTTTCTTGTACCAGCCTCGTTTTGCCTTTCATTACTTTCTTGTACTAACCATGTTTTGCCATTCTTTACTTTCTTGTACTAGCCATGTTTTACCATTCTTTACTTTCTTGTACCAGCCTCGTTTTGCCATTCTTTACTTCCTTGTGCTAACCATGTTTGCCGCACATCTTGCGCTTGACCCAGCAGCATTCAACTCGTATATCATACTTAGTCGTGTCACACGTACGGGCGTTTTGTTTCTTCTATTTGTCACATGTTGACTTTGCTTACCCACGTTTACTGTTCCGTCCACGTCCACCGTTTTATGTGCGTCATAAAACAGCAGCAGCGCACATTGGCGTCTGCCTGTTCACACACACATACACACACACACACTCGTCATATCACAAACACACGTACTCACAATTTTAAAGCTACAAACATTCTGTGTCACAAACACACGTACTCACAATTTTAAAGCTACAAACATTCTGTGTCACAAACACACGTACTCACAATTTTAAAGCTACAAACATCCTGTGTCTCAAACACACGTACTCACAATTTTAAAGCTACAAACATTCTGTGTCACAAACACAAAAGATAGCAAGTAGTAGCAACACATTATATTCATACTTTTGTGAGGAGAATTATTTATCATGCGATACACGACCATGTTGAATTATGCCGAAACTCTAGACCACCAAGCAGTAGTAATCTCCTAACAGAAAAATTTCTCATCGTAATACATAGGCACATTCGGCATGAAGATTTACGTACTTATAGTCTCCTAGCGTGGATGCTAAAAATGGTCCCACAATCTCTCCCAGGGTGGAGTCTTAAAATTGTCCCACACATCCACGTCTGGTGGATCACGCACACCGGGTAGGTGGGGGACATATCCCCACAAATTGCTTGCAATAGAAATATGCAACTTATTGCCGTTTCTGTGTCCCCACGAAACGGCCGGCTCCCCCCTTGATGTAATAAAGTTAGACGGCAGGCTGATTGCCTGGCTGCGGGACTGGGAATTAATATTGAAAAAAACTTTTGATGAGATTTCGTTTTACAGCGCCATCGGCGAGATGGTTTTAAAATAACAGCGGGAGACGGGTCTTGTACATGGGTTGTTAGATGAAAGGGATGATCACGTGACTTGGGGGGGGTGCAAGACGATTTTGTTGTTGTTGTAGGTAATTAGCGAGAGGGTTTAATTACATGTAGACACTTTGTAAGATGCCACTTTTATGTCACGTGACGAATTGTCACATTGCATGATGGCAGCTACTGACACATGGCACAGGTGCTATGTCAAATTTAATTTTGTTCAGAGTGGAAGTACACAATTTATCCAGTTGTTTCCTTACTCTATCGTTGCTGTGATGTTGACCCATCTCTTACTCTATCGTTGCTGTGATGTTGACCCATCTCTTACTCTATCGTTGCTGTGATGTTGACCCATCTCTTACTCTATCGTTGCTGTGATGTTGACCCATCTCTTACTCTATCGTTGCTGTGATGTTGACCCATCTCTTACTCTATCGTTGCTGTGATGTTGACCAGGTTGGCCTTACGTGGTTGGCTGTATTGGCCTTAGTTGGCCGTACATGGTGGCCCGTACATCGTTAGCCATACACTTGAGCTGTAGGCCCCCCAAATCCACAAGGGTTAAAGGGGAGACAAGCGAGTTGGAATTGGTGGAGTGCCGCAAGCCTTGTAATTATTGTAGGAAGAAAGACAGTGAAGACATTTAGCAGAAAATTCCAATAAAGACGCTAATATTACACCCTTAAGGTTCGTTTCCAAATGTTGGATTCATACAGGGCTGGCTAGTTTTAAGATATGTGCTAGCTAGGTTTGTGGGCTGGCTAGTTTTAATATGTGCGCTAGCTAGGTTTGTGGGCTGGCTAGGTTTAAGGTGTGTGCTAGCTAGGTTTGTGGGCTGGCTAGTTTTAAGATGTGGGATGACTAGCTAGTTTTAGAGCGTGGGTTAGGTAGTTTTAAAATGTGTTCTTGCTATCCTTGTTGAGCGACTTGTGACTAATTGGCTTAGTTTAGCATTTGTGGTTTTTAAGCAGTCCATCTAAATCTAGAGCGTTGTGTGTACTGATGTTGATTGCATGTCAGCACCGCACAATATTTGCCGTGCATGGTGTTCTAATTTGGTCATGATCTGGGAACTTAACAAAATATTAAATCCTAGATGGGAGATGAAATGAGATTAGGCATACATCTCCCCTAGCTTGGACATAGAATTATCCAGAAAATTTAGCGAGAGAGTTCAGATGTGCAGATAGGATCAACAAGTTTCCTCTGTAAATTGGCTGCAGTAATTTGGTTTGGGGGAGAAATGTTGAAAGTGTTCTGTAGCTTATGTTTTAGCTGGGTGTACATCTCTACACCTACAAAAGTTGTTTATTCAAGTCTTTGATTGACCTAAACTTAACCAAAACCCTTCTTGTTCACACTAAACAAACACGTTGGTCTATTCTCTGATCTATACATATTCATAGTTGAAAAAAAACTTTCTTTAATCTAGTTTATAAAAACCTGAATTTTTTTTCCCTTTCAGACCCAGACGCTACCTACACCAGCTTCTCTAACCCCAATTATTTCTTCAATCGAACCCAGCAACACAACAACAACAACAACGACCACACCACCCTTAACGGCAATACAAATGGAATATCCGTAGAAAAACTCTCCCTGCGCTCTGAGTACTTTGATGGCCACGGAGCTTTCAGTGACTACTCCTCTTGTGAGCCTACCCCCACCACCCCAGACCGCACCCTCATCCTGCAGAAGCTGCACTCCCCCTCTGACGACGAGGATGACGACTACGCTGAGGATAAAATTCCCCTGACAAAGAGTGAGACAGACAGCGACAGCAGCAACTGTGATGAGCCCAGAGTCTACTATGGTGTGGGCTCCCAGGTCAAGAGGTCACGGGGGATCTTGGGATACCTGGAGATGTTGGAGCAGCAGGCACTGGAGCGGGAGGCCAGGAAGCTGAATGGGGAGGTGGAGGATGAGGACGGGGAGCCCAGTGATAGGAGGGAGGAGGATGAGGGGGAGGAGGAGGGGCCAAAGACTCTACAGGGAGGGGATCAGCCTATTGAGCCACCCATCAGTGACAAGTGAGTTTACGTGTCTTTATGTGATTTGTTACATAGTGTCTTGTCTACATAACATTATATGTCATACATGTAATACACCCACTATACGTCATACATGTAAAACATCACTTACTTTTATATCATGTATGTATTATCAGACATACTTATGTTCTATGTTTAATATATAATACTTTGTCATATTTGCAATACATCACACATCTCATCCTGTGTATGATGTATCACACTTCAACTCATATTGTAACACATCCCAACCCTCAATATACATCACACATCTCATCCTGTCTATAATGTATCACACTTTAACTCATAGTGTAACACATCCCAACCCTCAATATACATCACACATCTCATCCTGTCTATCACACTTTAACTCATAGTGTAACACATCCCAAACCTCAATCCCCCAAATTTCTCTAACAACTGTATTTATGTCTGCCATCAGCACATTATTATTGGCTCTAGAGGTTTGAAAAGCTCATCTTTATTTACACCTAATTAAACAATTAGCCATTGTGTGTGGAAAATTCTGCCATTTTTTCAATACAATTCACTATACTAGTGTATTAGCATCTATTCTGTTTTAGCTGATTATGTTGCATTCTACATCTAGGTAACTGGACATTTCTTTTTATAATTTTTTAACATGTTTCTTTTTGTATAATCTGCTTAATTTATTTCATTTTCTAGTTTTATTTCAAGATCTTGTCCTTTACATTTTTAGAATCAGTTGGTGCCCCTTTTGGCTGTTGTATAAAAATGAACACGCCATGTTACTTTCTTTGTTCTGTATATCAGCCTCTACAGTGAACGCCAACAGTATTTTTATGTACACTGCCATTCCATATATTATTTGTACACAAAACAAAAAGTTATATTTTAACCCTGGGATTGAAATAGTAGAAGCGAATGTTATAAAAATATTCCTGTACTTTTTCTCTGTCTAATCAGCCTTGTGATCAGCTTACACACAGTTACAATTACAAAGTTTCAAAGGCTGCAAACTGCACATCTAAATCTACTTTCTGTTCTGTGGCATATCCTGACCCTCTGTGGAATATTTTACTTTAAGACTTATTTCAACCTGTTTTGTGTTATATTAGGGTACAATGTTAATTGGAAGAGCTTTCTTAATTATAAAACTCAGTTCAAGCAATAATTACTGGAGATGTAAAAAATCTAAAATAAATCACTAAAAATAATTTACTGGGTCATCAGTTTAAATAATGGATTCTGTTGTTTGCCATTTTTTGTTGCCTCCAGGCAGTGTTTGAGATCCCCTGTTGGTTTTGTGAATCACTGACTACATCACAGTCTGTACATGAATCATTGTGTTGTGAGACATCAACATTAGTTTAAAATATGGATTTACAATTGTTATTTTTTACCAGTGTTCATTGACAATTTTTTAATAGAACAGATTAGGTCAAGGTACTGGGATTAACTCTCCTGGAGAAGATTAGACATGAACTATCCTGATTGCAGCAGTTTGAAACATTAATTTGTAATACACACAGCTGTTGCGTTAACCACTGAGATTAACTCCCCTTGATCCTACAGTTAAAATTCTCACCTACATTGTTCTTTTTAACCAGATTTGACCACGGCACTGAGATTAACTCCCCTTGATCCTACAGTTAAAATTCTCACCTAAATTGTTCTTTTTAACCAGATTTGATCACGGTACTGAGATTAACTCCCCTTGATCCTACAGTTAAAATTCTCACCTACATTGTTCTTTTTAACCAGATTTGACCACGGCACTGAGATTAACTCCCCTTGATCCAACAGTTAAAATTCTCACCTACATTGTTCTTTTTAACCAGATTTGACCACGGCACTGAGATTAACTCCCCTTGATCCTACAGTTAAAATTCTCACCTAAATTGTTCTTTTTAACCAGATTTGATCACGGTACTGAGATTAACTCCCCTTGATCCTACAGTTAAAATTCTCACCTAAATTGTTCTTTTTAACCAGATTTGATCACGGTACTGAGATTAACTCCCCTTGATCCAACAGTTAAAATTCTCACCTACATTGTTCTTTTTAACCAGATTTGACCACGGCACTGAGATTAACTCCCCTTGATCCAACAGTTAAAATTCTCACCTACATTGTTCTTTTTAACCAGATTTGACCACGGCACTGAGATTAACTCCCCTGATTCCAATGACAGTGGTATCCAGGCTGGAGATAAGACGCCCATCCTTTCACCAGAGACTCCTGGCGCCCATGTAAGTCTGGTTTAACATTCTCCTCATAGTTAACTTAACATTATCCCAATGAGGTGTCTCTGTTGGTTACCCTAACATTCTCCTAATGAGGTGTCTCTGTTGGTTACCTTAACATTCTCCCAATGAGGTGTCTCTGTTGGTTACCTTAACATTCACATCAGGTGTCTGTTGGTTACCTTAACATTCTCCCAATGAGGTGTCTCTGTTGGCTACCTTAACATTCTCCCAATGAGGTGTCTCTGTTGGTTACCTTAAAATTCACATCAGGTGTCTGTTGGTTACCTTAACATTCTCCCAATGAGGTGTCTCTGTTGGTTACCTTAACATTCTTCCAATGAGGTGTCTCTGTTGGTTACCTTAACATTCTCCTAATGAGGTGTCTCTGTTGGTTACCTTAACATTCTCCTAATGAGGTGTCTCTGTTGGTTACCTTAACATTCTTCCAATGAGGTGTCTCTGTTGGTTACCTTAACATTCTCCCAATGAGGTGTCTCTGTTGGTTACCTTAACATTCTCCCAATGAGGTGTCTCTGTTGGTTACCTTAACATTCTCCCAATGAGGTGTCTCTGTTGGTTACCTTAACATTCTCCCAATGAGGTGTCTCTGTTGGTTACCTTAACATTCTCCCAATGACATGTCTCTGTTGATTACCTTAACATTCTCCCAATGAGGTGTCTCTGTTGGTTACCTTAACATTCTTCCAATGAGGTGTCTCTGTTGGTTACCTTAACATTCTCCCAATGAGGTGTCTCTGTTGGTTACCTTAACATTCTCCCAATTAGGTGTCTCTGTTGGTTACCTTAACATTTTCCCAATGAGATGACTATGGAAAGTACACAATAGTTTTGATGAGATATAATAAAGTTTGAGTAACTTGAAAATAAAATATTTTCATCCTGTTCAGTATTTATTTAGTTTTTATAGCTGATCCATATGAGATTACTTTTCTCTGTGTGAGGTCCTGCTATAAATCTTTTTTGTCCACCAGGTGGCCAACCACCTGGGCAATCAGACCTGACTGTAAAACTTAATTATAATCATGGCTTTCTGAATCATAATCATGGCTCATAGCCCTTTGAACCTGCTTTAATGGCCTGTCTTAAATCTCCATCCCCTGAGATACCAATAAAGCAGTACTAGACACCTGACCCCAGATGGGCAGTCTGTACATAAAATTGTGATATTAAAAAAGTACATAACTGGTATTGTTCGCCTCATAAGATCCTGTCTTGGCTGTGGTCATGAACCAAATTTTTTGTTATGATGGAAAGATGATTTTAATATTCTAAAACTGGCATTCTGCCTATTGTCTATAGAAGGGTCTACCTACACGGACGTACAGATTACTAAGTCTAAATACTGGAGATAATTCATTTACAAATTTTAATTGAAATAATAAAAGTAATCTTGTTGTTATATTCGTAGTCTTAATTTTTTTTTTATTGTGAGTCTGTTGTGTGTACATTTAACCCAAAAGCTCAGGGGAATGGGGATTTTAGTTACAGGAGCTAAGAGTTCAAAAGGTTAAACATTACAGGCCTGTATTCTGTTAGGTTCCAAAAAAACTTATTGCCTTAAATACCTGTATTCCTGTTAGGTTCCACAAAAACTAACTATCTTAAATACCTGTATTCCTGTTAGGTGCCACCACCTATTGAGGAGACCCCACCAGTGAAAGAGAAGGAAGTTTTACCTGAGGGCTGGCAGAAACATGAAGGTAAATATTTGCTGTCACTTCTCCTGACTTGCTCCAGACATCTGTGTGTTCATGGCCCATTCTAAGATGTGTCCATTTTGAATTGTTGTTTTGTGTGTATTTGTGTCATTTTATTTTTTCCTTCATAGCTTGCATCCATCTTGTTTGTGTGTCTTTTCATAGGAACATTGTAAGCTGGCATCCAGTGTTTAATTTTTTTTTAATATCTTGTCACTGGTTTATTCAAACATGTCATTCATTTTTGATGCTTCATATCATTTGTTCATGAAGAAACATTTTCCCTTTATGCTATTGTGTGTAATACGACATTATTTCGCTATTCTGAATATGACTTTGTTTTGTTTTTTTGTCATAAATGTATTTTAGCATTGTCTAGAAAAACTAACTTAACAAAAAGAAAACAATTGATGTCTGATAGCTTTTTGCTGTCTCATCTTGACAGTTTGGCCAACCAGTGTTGCCAGATTTTCTGACACCTGTGGCCTGTTTAGGTTTCTGTGGACAGTGCCTGTTTGGCTTCATGTTTAGTTTGTGTGATTCAGTGCCAGCAACAGTTTGTCATTTGTGACGGGATTACACCTGTAGTCCAGGCTGAGATTTTCTTGTGAAGTCCCTTGTGAAGTCCCTTGTGAAGTCCCTTGTATGTGACCAGCCAATCCCTCATGTGGTAGGAAAGTAAAGTGACAAGGCACTTGTTTCATCGACCAAACAAAGCAGTCGTTGACTTGTGGCGCCGGCTGGGAAATCTAGACGAATGACAAGATGGTGGTCAAGGCGTCTTGGACTGAAGCCCATTAGCTTGACAAATGACAGGATTGCATCGGGTCCCCCACCACGGCTGACAGCCAAGTGGACTAATCCAGGAGCTTTTTCAGGAATTAGCATGGCTTTTAATGGCATCCTGGACCTCAAGTGCAATCTCAGAGTTGTCATAATAGAGTGGGCGGCCAGTGGGTGTCGGCGTTGGTTAGTTCCAGCAACTCCTTGTGTTCCACTGGCTTCTATTGATTTTTTTAACTAGCTCTTATTAAGTTTGTTGTCTCCCCTGATTGGGAGCTGACTCAAAACATACTAGTTGGTATCAGTCACACTAACAGGCACACTAGGAGTCAGGGTATCAGTCACACTAACAGGCACACTAGGAGTCAGGGTATCAGTCACACTAACAGGAGCACTAGAAGTCAGGGTATCAGTCACATATCAGTCACACTAACAGGCACACTAGGAATCAGGGTATCAGTCACACTAACAGGCGCACTAGGAGAGGGTATCAGTCACACTAACAGGCGCACTAGGAGTCAGGGTATCAGTCTTGTTCAGGGAAACTGTCATAGTGTTCTCTGCTCATACCCACTCCTTTCCCCTCCCCACTCACCAGCTATAAAAATATGATTTCACTGAAATAGTAGTTTGAATCAACTATGTATATAGATAACTATCACAATCTTGTAAATAGATAACTATCACAATCTATTTTATTTATTTTACTTGAATTCGTGAATAGATGATCATATAGTCCTTACTTTTTACCAGCTTTTATTTAGTTTGCAACGTCTGTTTGTGGCAAATCTTGTAACTCAATTTTGACCTTATTCTAATGCAGCGATTTTGTTCAAACTTTCCATATACGTTCCACTTTAATGATTATACAAGTATATCTATTTTTTTTAAAACTATATGGAGATAAAAAAATTAAATCACTCGATAGAAAATATAACAAGTATAAAAAAAGTTAATACCAACAAGCTTTTAATTAAATGCACTGAAAATTAGAAAAAAAAACGAATTTGCTATGGTCACCTATGATGGTCCCTACTTTTATTGTTGTACAGATGATGATGGTCCCTACTTTTATTGTTGTACAGATGATGATGGTCCCTACTTTTATTGTTGTACAGATGATGATGGTCCCTACTTTTATTGTTGTACAGATGATGATGGTCCCTACTACTGGCATGTAAAAAGTGGAACCATCCAGAGAGACCCTCCACCCCCAGCACCACCAGATGGTCCTGCTCTCTGCTCACCACGATCTATTTCCCTCACCTCAGAATCTGTGAGTATCTCATTGTACACACACACCTGACCCTCACAATATGTGATTATTGCACTATATAGATAGTTCTCTGACTCCCACACACAACTTACAAATGATCAAGTACAGTTCTTTAGCCTGCCTGTCTTTGGTTTACAAAGCTCATTCTTCTTCCGTACTGTATATAAAACAGTACCTTGCCATATGGAAATATAATGTATTAAATGTACACTATCACTGTCTACCCACTCCTTCCTTGTATTCCACTCGCCTAGTCTGTGCTGCTCTCGTCTGGTCCTTCAATACTTAAGGGAATCTACCAAGTTTCTCATAGATCAATACTTGTCTGAATAGTAACATAAGTTTTACTCTGAGAATAGTATCAAAAGTAAAGAATATCTCATAGTTTGCTGTCTCAGACATACAATTTGCTCAGAGAAAAGTAAGGCTGTACGAGAGGTAAACCAGAATGTATAATATCTTGTTGTCTCATACACAGATTTTACTCTGATAATCTTTTGACTGAATGTTATGAGAAGTAAAGCAGATGATCCAATATCTGGCCGTCTCAGTCCAGTATGTTTTCTCTGTTGTCCAACACTAACTAACGGAAGCGGCCAACTCAAACGTTAGCTAAACATAGGCCATGTGGCCAAGACGTGCAGCTCCATCCCTGTTAGTGCTCAGTCTGGGGTACCAGAGCCCCCCTTCCTCCCAACACTGCTCAGTCTGGGGTACCAGAGGCAGCCCCCCACCCTACACTAATCGCAGCCCCTGCCCCAATCAATACTCACTGCTAGGGTCGTCCTAAGACGCGACACGGAAACGCTGGCTGCAAAATTTGGATATCAGCATTCAGATGGGTGTAAGTGGATGGGTAAATCAATGCTTGGTCGGGGGGGGGGGGTTAGGTTACTTAGGGGGGTATAGGGTTGTTGGTTTATGTGACTGTCTAGTGGGGGATGGAGGGTAAGGTAGTTGGTTTATGTGACTGTCTAGTGGGGGATGGAGGGTAAGGTAGTTGGTTTAAGTGACTTTAGGTTTGGGGATGGTGTTAGGGCAGTTGGATTTTGTGACGTCAGGGGTGGGGATAGTGTTAGGGTAGTAGTTGGCTCATGTGCCTTTCGGGTTGGGGATTATAATGTTTGGGATGGCTTTGGTAGAAATGGTTGCATCAATAACAGACTTTTGAAGCTGATTCAATCTTCTAATACTAGATTCTCATACACTGGGATATTCAGCACCTATATGACGTTCGGCACCAGACGATTGTTGCATCGTCTCACTTAACTACCTGCCTAGTCCAGTCATGGGATGTTACTTCATTTCGACAGGAAATCTATTTTTCTTTGAAACAGAATGCTCCACCAAAATATTGATGAATGAAACTTTTTACCACTGAAAAACTTGAAAATACCTCACGGCAATCGAAAAAAAAAAAAACCAATACTGTTAGTTATTTATTTTCGTCGAACAATATAATAAAGAAGTCACGTGGTAACGACTCCGACGGCCAGCTCGCAATATGATAAGTCGGCCTTTAAAATTGGTCACCCTTTTAAACACGCCACCCTTTAGACCCGCCGCCTACTTGAGCCAAAGTTTGTGTTTCGACACCATGAGAACTGGCAGAAAATCAAGTCGGCTGGATTTGGTCTGGCCCCAGTATACCCATATCTACACCCTCAGTAACACGTCAGTTGTTGAACATGATGTATGGCGCGACCTGCCCCGGAAGTATATTGAACTTCTAGATCTGTGTACATATTTAAAGGTCTCGACTGTTGATTTTGTACATCCCACCGCCCCCGACAATCATGTCTACTTATTACTTACAAATCCAAATTTGCAAGAAGTCAAGCATCGCGCCTGAAACGTCATAAGCCTATCATAAGAGAACATGATCTATCGTCTTTTAAGTTGAAGGGATGGATGAAGAAAGTATTGTTTCGTTCGTATACCTACTCCATGTTCACAAAAATGAAATGTTGTTTTTGAAATAACGAATTCACAATGCGATGTAGGCTAATTCGTTGTTACTAATATTTTAGGTAAATAAACGATTAAAAAATATTCTGTTATTTGTCGTCGCTACGGTTAGGAAAAAAAATGTGTGCAAATTGTGGTAAAATGCACACTCACTATATTTTTTTTTATTTAAAAAAGTGTAATCGTTTTGTTAAATTTTTATCACTTACTGTCCTTTCATATTTTTGAAGCATTGTTTACTGTTACACTAACTCAACGGGTCAAGCAAATCTACACAAGCAGTCAAAAATGCGTGTATAAAAGGAGCATTTAAGGAACAACTGTATTTAAAATACTCTGTGTTTTGCGAATATTACTACACGTATTATAAAATAAAATGAAACATAAAGCTGCTTAGGTCAGGTCCGTCCCACCAAACCCTGCAGACGCCATTGTATGTATGACATCTTCACTATCATCGCTCCACTCTGTCCCCTCACCCTACTGGCTACTCTGTGGGTTAACGATGTCTTTGTTTTACCATTTAATATTGTCTCGCTTGTTTTCCCTTTTAGCGTATCTATCTAAACTATGAACAATGTCAGCTTTAATTCTAAAAAAACAAAAATGCCCAACGGGCTTTGAAGAAAAAAACTGTCGTTATAGGCGTATGCAGACAGCACGGCGGATGATATTTTTTTTTTTTTTACATCTTTTCGGCGCCAAATTTTCGCCGACATGCCGTCTCTACCCATCATAAAAAATGTTTTAAGCCCAGTATTTGAATACAAAGCCGATTATGACAATTTACAAGTTTCATTACCGTGTATTTTTAAACAATTAAGAAGCGCACGAGTTGTATCCAATTATGGTGTTACATTTCTTTTAACTCTTCCATTCATTGCGCTAAGTTTCTTGTAACATAAGATTATTTTTATTGTAATTTTGGGACACTCTCCCTGTACGTCTGTAAGACATGTATCCTGTAGGTCTCTAGACATCTATCTATCTATATACTACTAAAAGTCAAGTTTGTTTACATGTTTGAATATTTATTTGTTTGCCTGATCGAAAATTGTGATATGTTCGACTCTATCTGGAAAGCTGTAAAATGGTATGCAGGTAGAGAATAATTTTTTAATGCAGACAGACTGTTGATCACAAATTTATTTAAAGACGTTAATTAATTAATTGATTTATTCATATGCAGATTAACCCATTTTTTAAAAAAAGATTTGAAAAGCCACTAGACTCGACGGAAACAGTGACGTCACATGATGTGTTTATTTTTTTACATCGATAATGGCGGCCTATCGAAGAAGATTGTGTTCCCATTCCAATGTTTAACGCGTTCTAAAGCTAATTTTCTGTCGGCTTTAACTTTAACAATACGTCCGTTTGCTGTATTTATTACGTTCCAACACTTATATCAATTTTCAACTGTCTTTTTCATTTAGTTTTACAATAAATTTCTCTAGGTCTAAAGATCAGCTGTCGAAGGAAAGTTATTTATAGATCTAGATCTAGAATCTAAAAATCTAGGTCAAATCCAAGATTTATTAGTTATAAATACAATAAAAAAAACGAAACTTTAGCAAACCAGTCGTAGATCTAGAATATAGATAATTCTATCTAGATTTAGATAATAATGAGTTTCTATATACTAAACTATTTTAGACCTTTATTATTTTATATAAATCTTTTTTTGTATAGCTATGAAATATGCTAATTAGGAAATGCTGGATGCGGGGCCTATTTGCATAACTTAAGATTCATACGCGGCTTCTATACCGCTAAGTGTGCAAAATTATAGACGTAAACTCTAGATATAGCTCAGTCGTAGATCTAAAATATAGATAATTTTCTATCTAGATTTAGATAATAATGATTTTCTATATACTAAACTATTTTAGACCTTTATTATTTTATATAAATCTTTGTTTGGAATATGGTAATTTTGAAATGCTCGCTCCGGGCCTATAAGCGTAGCTAATGATTAGATCTAGATTCTAGGTCTAGCAAGAAAAACTAAACATAAGAAGACTTAAGCAAAAGAGTCGTAGAATCTAGACTAGATCTAGATAATTCTATCTAGATCTAGATAATTTCAGACCTTCTTTATTTTATATAAATTTTTGTTTGGCTAATTTAAGATAAAATTTAATTTGAAAGTTACTACTACTAGAGTTAGATGTAGATCTATGCGCGTAAGGAGACTCAAAGTATAGTATAAAACTTCACTTGTAATGTCACGAGTAAATAGCTAACTTGGTAGTGAGGTCGGCTCTCATGTGGGTGGCACAGGTTCTAGACCAATTCGTCAATGATTTTTTTTTCAATTTTTTTTTTTTAGATGTGAATAATAAAGTTGCCTATCTGAACTTGGCAGGATACAGGGCTGGTGAAGTAGAGTTTGTCTGTTTCTTTGTCCTAAGCATATGAAAGGATAGTGTGGTCAGAGACATGCTCGGCTGGAATCGTTTTTTAAACGATAAAAACATGTTGTCTGAGACTTGGCGGGACACTGGGCAGGTGAAGTAGAGTTGAGTAGGTCACCTATGAAGTCAGTATATGAAGGGATAGTCCGAAATCGGTGTTTTCGGTGTTTTTAAAAGATAAAAAACAAATTTTTGAAAGTGGGGTCTGTTTTTTTTTGACGATAAGTGACACTGCAGTAGCGTAGCGAGGAGGGGGGGGGGGCGGGAGGGGAGGCGGGGGGGGGGGGGGGCGGGGGGACATATGTTGGGGCGCCAAAATGGTTTGGAAAAATAAATTGAAAGGTTGAGGGGGGGGGGTTCAAATCGAAAGTTTGAGTGGGGGGGGGGGGGGGTGCACATCAAAAGTTTGAGGGGGGAAGGTTGAAAATTGAAATCTTGGGAGGGGGGGGGGGTTAAAATCGAAAAGTTTGTCCCCGGGCGCCAGGAAGGGTCGCTATGCCTCTGAGTGACAGACGTGATGTTTTTTGATGGATGACCCCGAAACCCACAGTTATCCAACGGATGACGGGTATTCTAGTTGTCCCTATAAGTCTTTAGACACCAGATTTGTGTTGATCTTTATGTCTTTGGCCACCTCTATGTGTTTCTGACCTCTGTGTCCATGACCTCTGCCCTCGGCTACCATCATAAACTGATCGTGTCAGTATTTATCACCTCTGTGTGTGTTAAATAATCACTCTACAACAGTGGACTATCATCAGTCTTTCAATGCTGGACAGTACCCTTACATGTGACATAGCCTACATTGGTCTGTTGTCTGTCATGTTGGACAGCACCCTGACTTGCTACAACATTGGTCTGTTGTCTGTCATTTGGACAGCACCCTGACTTGCTACAACATTGGTCTGTTGTCTGTCATGTTGGACAGCACCCTGACTTCCTACAACATTGGTCTGTTGTCTGTCATTTGGACAGCATTGGTCTGTTGTCTGTCATGTTGGACAGCACCCTGACTTGCTACAGCATTGGTCTGTTGTCTGTCATGTTGGACAGCACCCTGACTTCCTACAACATTGGTCTGTTGTCTGTCATGTTGGACAGCATTGGTCTGTTGTCTGTCATGTTGGACAGCACCCTGACTTGCTACAGCATTGGTCTGTTGTCTGTCATGTTGGACAGCACCCTGACTTGCTACAACATTGGTCTGTTGTCTGTCATGTTGGACAGCACCCTGACTTGCTACAACATTGGTCTGTTGTCTGTCATGTTGGACAGCATTGGTCTGTTGTCTGTCATGTTGGACAGCACCCTGACGTCCTACAACACCGGTCCAACAGACCTCCCCACTGGCCCATTCAGCCTGCTACCACGTCATCGCCTTAAGTTCATTACAAGATTGATCCTCCCAAACATTTTTTTAAAGTCCATCTCTTCCTCCATATTGACGCCCTCCTTGACGTGCGCCCCGATAATCTAGGCCCCCATCAAGGCCAGCCAGCCCCCACTCCCTGGCCCAGCCAGCTCCCACTCCCTGGCCCACCAAGCCCTCAGCAAGCCCAGCTTTTTACCGGATTGTCACAGCGGGTCGTGCCCCTAATGTAATTGTCTGTCAAGATGGGTCTGTCGGCTGTGTCACTCAACCTTTCTCACACCCAGACCAACAGGCTACACGTGTAGACAATGGTCAACGACCGGGGTTGGTACAACTTATACAAGGGTCGCTTGCTGTGTTTTTTTTTTTTTTAATTTGGATAGGTTGAACTTACGATATATTTTTTTTTTGGTGTAGTTAATTTGACTTAGTGGTTTACTGTTCCATCTCAGTTCTCAGTTGCACCGTGTAGGATCGAACTTGTCAACTGTTAACAGGGACAGAGTTACCCGCCATAGATTGCCATAGAAAGTCTTACGTCATAGGTCTAGTTGACTTACGTCATAGGGTCATAGTTCACGCGCCATTTTAGACTGTCGTGATAGGTTCAGAGGTCACCCACTTTGTAATAAGTTCTAACACCATTGAAGACTCGTCATAAGGTCAGAGGTCGCCCACCGTATGTTGGTCTTTAACTTTCAGATCTGACTTGTAATGTTCGTAACTTTACAATTAGACTAGCTACATTAAACTTGACAGTTACATTCAACTTACATCGCAAGTTTAAACACTGGACAGCAAGTTTAAACACACTGCCCTTCGTGACATTTAGATTGGGTGGTGAATTAGGAAATTAATTTTTTTTTAAATTTAGTAATTTAATTAATTAAAGTATATTTTTTATCATTTTAAAAGAATGCATTAATTGCACATTTTAAGTTGTTTTAATAAAATAATAACGTAGGCATTTATATATAAATATTTTTATAAAGATGTTATTTCTCAAAATCCACCCCCCCCCCCTCTCAAATCATGACCAGCCTAACTAAAGTATTTCTCTAAAGGCTAGACACGATGACTGATGCCATTTAATCTTAGAGACAGGTGCCACTTGAGCTTATGAATATTTCATCTTTGTTCTCAATATGTTCTTAAATCACTACATGCTACACTCTGTGGGGGTGGTATGTGTGGGTGTCCTCTTTAATGGAAGTTTGTTATTTTGTGTACTCTTTACAGGTTATGTATACACTATCCTCACAGAGTATGTGCCTTCCTCCTTGTACACATTGTTCTCTGGGGAGTACATGATATTCTCTAAAGTTTTTGTATCTTATCCTTCTTGAACACTATCCACCTTGGTGTGTACACACTATCCACATTGGTCTGTACACTATCCACCTTGGTGTGTACAGTATCCACCTTGGTGCATACACACTATCAATCTTGGTGGGTGTGTACACACTATCCACCTTGGTGCATACACACTATCCACCTTGGTGCATACACACTATCCACCTTGGTGGGTGTGTACACACTATCCACCATGGTGCATACACACTATCCACCTTGGTGGGTGCATACACATTATCCACCTGGGTGCTTACATATTATCCACCTGGGTGTGTACACTACCCACCTTGGTGTGTACACACTATCCACCTTGAAGTGAAATTGATTGTGAACATTCTTATCATTGTGTTGGTGTATAGAAAGATGCCCACACTATATATTTAATGTTTGTATAAAATTAGGAAGATTATCTGTTATTAATTTTTTTTCTCAATTCCAAATGTCCGCCAAAATGTCTGGCAGAGGTTTTAATGAGCCAATCATCATGCTCTCTCCTGTCCCTTGTCCAGCACTAAGGATATTTATTTTTTCTTGGAAGTTTGTTTTTTATACAAGTTAACTGTTAGCCTATAGAGGCAACATTTCTCTGCTTGTATGGGGGGGGGGGGGGGGGAGCAGGGAGTGTTTTGAAGTCAATCAAGTCATGAATTTACCAAAATTGTTGGACATCTAGTTGAAACTTCTTTTGATTCTGACAACTTTTCAATAGTTTTCACATTTCCATTCAAAGTTATCCTCTATTATGTACTGACCAGCTACCAGTACATGATAAACCTGTTCATAACCTCCTTGCTTGTCACCCCCAGAGCTCCAGCACTGCAGGATCAATCCCATCTACCCCCACAAGTGTCAGCTCTGGTACTGAGCGACACCTGGCAGAATTTGAAGGTCACGCACTGCAGTATGCTGCCAAGTCACTACAGTCCTTGTAAGTCTCACTGTTAACTGTGGTTAAAGTATTGGTTGATTCACTACAGTCCTTGTAAGTCTCACTGTTAACTGTGGTTAAAGTATTGGTTGATTCACTACAGTCCTTGTAAGTCTCACTGTTAACTGTGGTTAAAGTATTGGTTGAGTCACTACAGTCCTTGTAAGTCTCACTGTTAACTGTGGTTAAAGTATTGGTTGAGTCACTACAGTCCTTGTAAGTCTCACTGTCAACTGTGGTTAAAGTATTGGTTGAGTCACTACAGTCCTTGTAAGTCTTACTGTTAACTGTGGTTAAAGTATTGGTTCAGTTACTACAGTCCTTGTAAGTCTTACTGTTAACTGTGGTTAAAGTATTGGTTCAGTTACTACAGTCCTTGTAAGTCTCACTGTTAAACTGTGGTTAAAGTATTGGTTCAGTTACTACAGTCCTTGTAAGTCTCACTGTTAACTGTGGTTAAATTATTGGTTCAGTTACTACAGTCCTTGTAAGTCTCACTGTTAACTGTGGTTAAATTATTGGTTCAGTTACTACAGTCCTTGTAAGTCTCACTGTTAACTGTGGTTAAAGTATTGGTTGAGTCACTGTTAACTGTGGTTAAAGTATTGGTTGAGTCACTACAGTCCCTGTAAGTCTCACTGTTGACTGTGGTTAAAGTATTGGTTGATTCACTACAGTCCTTGTAAGTCTCACTGTTAACTGTGGTTAAAGTATTGGTTGAGTCACTGTTAACTGTGGTTAAAGTATTGGTTGAGTCACTACAGTCCTTGTAAGTCTTACTGTTAACTGTGGTTAAAGTATTGGTTGAGTCACTACAGTCCTTGTAAGTCTTACTGTTAACTGTGGTTAAAGTATTGGTTGAGTCACTACAGTCCTTGTAAGTCTCACTGTTGACTGTGGTTAAAGTATTGGTTGAGTCACTACAGTCCTTGTAAGTCTCACTGTTGACTGTGGTTAAAGTATTGGTTGAGTCACTACAGTCCTTGTAAGTCTCACTGTTGACTGTGGTTAAAGTATTGGTTGAGTCACTACAGTCCTTGTAAGTCTCACTGTTAACTGTGATTAAAGTACTGTGTAGCTTATTTGCAACATGATGTTTTGGTGCACAAAATACCATATGGTTGTACTCTGCCGCAGGTCCACATTCACTGAGAAGAAAAGTCTGGAGGCAAGTTCTGAGAAAGCTGTTCGCTTTGCTGTGCGCTCCCTGGGGTGGGTGAAGATAGCTGAAGAGGACCTGACGCCAGAGCGCAGCAGTAAGGCTGTCAACAAGTGCATTGTGGATCTTTCCCTGGGTCGCAATGACATCAATGATGCTGTTGGCAGATGGGGTGATGTAAGTTGATGTTTAGATTACATGATGTTAGATGTGGTGATGTAAGTTGATGTTTAGATTACATGATGTGGTTGGCTGATGGGGTGATGTAAGTTGATCTTTAGATTACATGATGTTGTTGAAAGATGGGGAGATGTAAGTTGATGTTTAGATTACATGATGTTGTTGGCACATGGGGAGATGTAAGTTGATGTTTAGATTACATGATGTGGTTGGCTGATGGGGTGATGTAAGTTGATCTTTAGATTACATGATGTTGGCAGATGGGATGATGTAAGTTGATCTTTAGATTACATGATGTTGTTGAAAGATGGGGAGATGTAAGTTGATGTTTAGATTACATGATGTTGTTTGCTGATGGGGTGATGTAAGTTGATGTTTAGATTACATGATGTTGTTGAAAGATGGGGAGATGTAAGTTGATGTTTAGATTACATGATGTTGTTGAAAGATGGGGTGATGTAAGTTGATGTATAGATTACATGATGTTGAAAGATGGGGTGATGTAAGTTGATGTTTAGATTACATGATGTTGTTGGCTGGTAGGGTGATGTAAGTTGATGTTTAGACTTTCTTGAAAACAGCATCGCCTTGCTTTATCAAGTTCCAGAACTCCAACAGTGTTATAACTTTAATGCTTAGTTCCCAGGTAGTGCTTTAAATGTTTATATCCTGAATTAATACTGGAACTTTATGTTGTCTAGAGCTGATTGATAATGCCATTGTTTGTTTTTTCTGTGGTGTTATTGACAATTTGATTGAGTACTTTAGACGGTGGGCAAGTCAGCATCTTAATCTCAGGACTTTAATCAACTCATTGCATACAATTTATCAGTTGTTTTTTTATGGCTCGCTGGATATTGGCATTGGAAAAAATGGACTTTATATTCTGTTAGTACTGTGGTTTGTGGCTTAGACTTGCTTCATCATCATAGTCTTTTAGTCTGTCTTTTGCTATTATCTTATTCTTTCCTTACATCTGAGTGAAGATTTTTGTATCTGCTTCTACAAAGTATCTTGCAATATTGAGATTCACAAGATCAGAGGGTTCATGTGTTGGGCTTAATATAGACTGTATTACAGATACGGAACTCTGTTTCACTGTGCAATGTATAGATTTTTAATGTTTACATTGTGTACAAATATACACTTCTATGTGTTCACTTTTTTAGTATACCACTTATTCATCTATTTTATATATCTATTTGGCATGGTTTACAGTAAGTTCACATAGCATACTACACACCACATATATTTCTGTTTGACATGGTAAGCTGTACGTTGAGATGGATGTAAGTTCACATAGTACACTACACACCACATATTATATTTCTAGGTTTGACTTGGTATGGTGTATAGTATATATATCTGTATTCCACCTCCCATACCATCCTGATTGATAGCAAGTTGAGCAAGGAAATTATAGATCTAGCCAGTGGTGTTGGGGAGGACAGTTTACAAATTAGATGTGGATCAATGCGGCCCAGCCTGGCCCTGGCCCAGTTAGAATTTACATAGTCGGGCCCAGTCAGTGCTATAATCTTGGGAGGAAAGACGCAGACAAATAAAGATTCATTGAACATTTAGTTTTCTTTCCCTGCCTACCAGAGCCCACTAATCAAGTGGCATAACAAGGTTAGCTGGAGTTAGTTCCCATAGAGTCTGGCCTAGTGCTGGTACTGCTAGCTCTCAGCTAATGACTTCCTCACGGTGTAGACAGCATTACCTCCAATCTACATATATACATTTTTTATATCATTTAGGCTGAATCCATTTGAATTAACTTACATACACACATTCGTATAATCATCTTTTGATTTAAATTTAAACTACATTTTTGTAAGTGATTACTGATCAAAAATAGGATGTACTTATTTTGCATATTAGTATGTGTTTATGTATACCCACAATTCTGGTTTATCTATATGTAGGCTACTATGTAACACATACTGTAACACAATCAATTCCTATTCTCAGATTCCTGACTAGAATATTTTTATATCAAATTTACATTTTTGTATTATTTTTCTTTTTCTTTAAGTCTTATTTTTATGTGTGCAGTGTAATATTTTTGACATTTAGGGTTTTATTTTACTTTTTAGAAGAAAAAAAGTCCTAGAACCTACAGGCACTCTGGTATGTTTTGTCTCCAATTTGAGCCTGGCCTCCCATCCATTATCTGGCCAACAATTGATTTGATGAACCTGATCTGTCAGCAGCCATTATCCCCCTTAGTTTGACTATAAGGCATAGACTGCCTGAGGCTGTTATGTGAGGAGGTTATTAAAGCTGAACAGTCTAAGAGTTTCTAGAGACCCATCATGTCCTGGTCTCCACAGTCCACATAACCAACTTTTTTTTTTGACCTATTAAAATTTCATCATTAAAATAAGAAGAAAAAAATATTTTAAAACTTTAGGTCACTTTCAGTAAGATTATTCTTATTTTGATGTAAGGTTTTATATTCTAACAAATTTTTATAATAATTTACCAGCAAATAGAATGTGAAAAATTTAAAAGAAAAAAACCAAAAGAAAAAAAATGGTAAATAATTAATATAGCTTGAGGCACCAAGGTTGTGGTCTTGATCCAACTTATCAGTGAGTTGGTGTCACTAAGACAAGGAAGTATAACATCAAGACTAATACCCTGCACTAACACGGCACAGTGTTGACAATTTCTGTTTAGTACTCAAAGGGTTAAAGGTGTTCTCTGAAATATAACCCTCCAACTCATATATTGGTCTGATCTATATCCCCCCCCCCTTACTTGTACTTATTATATCCTTATCTGTGTCCATTAATTGCTGGAATATTTGTATTGATTCATGCAAATGGATTATTTTTTTCCACTCTAGAGAAACCTCTTGTTTATCAAAGTAGGAAGAGGCCCCTAGTTTTCTTACAATAGCCCTGGCAAATATACATCTTCACAAGAGTGGATTCATAATTGAGCTGCACCAAAATGAACTGTGCAATTAGTTTTTTATCAAAGATAATTAGAGCAAATTAACTGTGTCCATATTTAATTCCATCATTAATTATGACCATTCTATATGCTATAGTAATATTTCACAATATAGACTAGTGCTAGGAATTTGAAAAAAAAAAAATTTTTATTAGTATTGCAGAGCTGATCACTGAATTGTATAGTTTATTTCTGTGGGTCTAAACCGTATAGACTTGTGTGGGTCTAATTGACAGTCTATTTTTGTATGTCTAATTGGTTTAAAACTTTACAGTGTGGGTCTTATTAATATAGTCTATTTCTGTATAGACCTAAGTGATGTTTTCTATTTTTTTGTAGGCTTATGTGGTGTGATATATTTTTGTCTAGGCTTATGTGGTGTCTGTTTTTGTGTGGGTTCTAGTTGATAGTCCACATAACTCATCCAATGCAGACATTCAATTGAAATAAATCTCTCTCATGCTCAAAGTTTTGGATGTTGCCCTAATGTGTCCACACAACTACCAATGCAGACATTCAATTGAAATAAATCTCTCTCATGCTCAAAGTTTTGGATGTTGCCCTAATGTGTCCACTGCACTTGTACAAATGTGTCTAACTTCTAGATGCTCATTATGTGATCAGCGAGCTGTCACGTATAACAAGATAAACTACTCGTCACTTGACGTATTTCCTTCCTGCCATAGAGACAAGCACATAAATTTCTAAAAATAGGCCTCAATAAAGAGCAATGAGCTATTGATCCAGGCTAGTTTTTGCTGACAGTTTGCCATGTGGAATAGATGAAGTTGTGTCCCCTTGCTCAATCTTCCACCCCTCCACCCAGTAATGCCTATTAGCCCTGATCTGAATTTCTAATGCCCCAGACTAAAGCTTTTTAAAAGGAGAGAGATAGAAAACATCAACTTTACAGGGTTTTTTTTCTTACATTTGATGATCACAACAGAACCTCTTAATTTTAAAAGAAAAAATGGTTTTAAAAAATTAAAACATTAATTTAATTAATACCATTGTATTTTTCTTGTCTTAAAATGAAGTGAATTAACACATTTGCTTGAGGATGGGGGGGGGGGGGGGAATAAAAGATCAATATTGCTAAAGGATTGATGGAGAAAATTTAAAGAATAATTATGAATGGAAATTAATTATTTATAAAGATAAAAAGTTAAATGTGAATAAATAATCTTGTTTTTATTTGTTTATGCTATATTTTTATGAAGGAGCAAAAACAACATCAGCCACAGATCATGGGGCTTGTTATATAATTCTAAAATAATCCCAGTTTTGACAGCCTGAAGACATTTTAATAATTGGACCGATATCCCATGTTTGACTGCACAAAGATATTTTAATCTGCTTCTTTGTTCTTGGCTTTATTGCTGCCAATATTTGAAAGGCATCATTTTTAAGACACACAATGTGCATACTATTTTTGTAACTACAAACTCCTATCCATGAAGTTCTGGTCCATACAAGTTCATGTCCATAAAGTTCTGCTACATACAAGTTCATGTCCATAAAGTTCTGGTCCATACAAGTCCGTCCATAAAGTTCTGGTCCATATAAGTACATGTCCATAAAGTTCTGATATATAGAATTTCATGTTTGTCAAGTTCTGGTCCATACAAGTTCATGTCCATAAACATAAAGTTCTGGTACATACAATTTTATGTCCATAAAATTCTGGTCCAGAGTCCATATAGTTCTGGTCCATACAAGTTCATGGTTACATTCAAAACTTCTGGTACTTAAGAGTTGTTTCCCATGTGTGTTGTGTAGATCCACTGATTTTTTTGTAAGCAACTGATTGGACTTGTAGCTCCAATCAGGATAGTATTGAGTTGTACCATCAAGTTGATTTATCTCTTCTTAGTGCACAAAAATCCCAGCAGTTTCAACTTTTTCTCTTTAAATAAAATAGATGTGTCATGTCACAGCCAGTCTGTCTCCTGCATGTTGCATTACAGCATGATGCATGTGGTTTTAAATGTTGGACATACATGCCCAGCGATAAGGCGTCCAGCGAGGTTTGAGTGATTGTGCTGAGATGCTGTGATTAAGGTCTCGGATCACCGGAGACTACAAAATGAAGTGGACATTTCCCATCTAAAGGCTTGTAGAAGCTGCAGACAAATTTGATTACCCAGACAAACTGATTTGATTTTTGGCTGATGTCCAAAACAGCGCTGGTTATCAGAGGGGGGGGGGGGGGCAGTGTGACCTTGACATCCTGCTGATAACTGCATTAGAGCTGACTTTACAGCCTGTCTGAGTGGAGTGGAGCAGCAGCTATGAGTGTTTAAAATGTTTGGAGGAATGGGTTTGATGTGTAAATAGCTTCATGGATGTCTCATTCTCAGCTTTGTTGTAACATGGTTGACAAAGATGTCACAGTGTTTTTAAATCTGACCGTAAAGTTTAATGTGGGTTGTTGTTTTGTTTTTTTAGACAATCAGAAAATGAATTTTTTTTTGTTTTACTAGGTAGGCAAAGTATGTTTTTATGGTCAATCATGATTTAACAAGCTATGTAAAGCATAATTTATTCAAAATGACTGGTCTTTTTTATTGTTTTAACTTGTACCTCAACCAAATATGATCAACAAAAGATTATTTTACTGCAATGTTCACCTAGTGCCCATCTTATCCTCCTAATGTTTGTCATATTCCTATGTCCTTGTGCCATGACCAGCCGCCATGTCCATCTTGTCCTGCCGTCATGTCCATCTTGTCCTGCCGTCATGTCCATCTTGTCCTGCCGTCATGTCCATCTTGTCCTGCCGTCATGTCCATCTTGTCCTGCCGTCATGTCCATCTTGTCCTGCCGTCATGTCCATCTTGTCCTGCAGTCATGTCCATCTTGTCCTGGTGTCATGTCCATCTTGTCCTGGTGTCATGTCCATCTTGTCCTGCCATCATGTCCATCTTGTCCTGCCGTCATGTCCATCTTGTCCTGGTGTCATGTCCATCTTGTCCTGCCATCATGTCCATCTTGTCCTGCCGTCATGTCCATCTTGTCCTGCCGTCATGTCCATCTTGTCCTGGTGTCATGTCCATCTTGTCCTGCCGTCGTGTCCATCTTGTCCTGCCATCGTGTCCATCTTGTCCTGCCATCATGTCCAACTTGTCCTGCTGTCATGTCCATCTTGTCATCTTGTCCTGCCATCATGTCCATCTTGTCCTGCTGTCATGTCCATCTTGTCATCTTGTCCAGCTGTCATGTCCATCTTGTCCTGCCGTCATGTCCATCTTGTCCTGCTGTCATGTCCATCTTGTCATCTTGTCCTGCTGTCATGTCCATCTTGTCATCTTGTCCTGCCATCATGTCCACCTTGTCCAACTGTCATGTCCATCTTGTCCTGCTGTCATGTCCATCTTGTCCTGCCGTCATGTCCATCTTGTCCTGGTGTCATGTCCATCTTGTCCTGCCATCATGTCCATCTTGTCCTGCCGTCATGTCCATCTTGTCCTGCCGTCATGTCCATCTTGTCCTGGTGTCATGTCCATCTTGTCCTGCCGTCGTGTCCATCTTGTCCTGCCATCGTGTCCATCTTGTCCTGCCATCATGTCCAACTTGTCCTGCTGTCATGTCCATCTTGTCATCTTGTCCTGCCATCATGTCCATCTTGTCCTGCTGTCATGTCCATCTTGTCATCTTGTCCAGCTGTCATGTCCATCTTGTCCTGCCGTCATGTCCATCTTGTCCTGCTGTCATGTCCATCTTGTCATCTTGTCCTGCTGTCATGTCCATCTTGTCATCTTGTCCTGCCATCATGTCCACCTTGTCCAACTGTCATGTCCATCTTGTCCTGCTGTCATGTCCATCTTGTCCTGCCGTCATGTCCATCTTGTCCTGCCGTCATGTCCATCTTGTCCTGCCGTCATGTCCATCTTGTCCTGCCATCGTGTCCATCTTGTCCTGCCATCATGTCCAACTTGTCCTGCTGTCATGTCCATCTTGTCATCTTGTCCTGCCATCATGTCCATCTTGTCCTGCTGTCATGTCCATCTTGTCATCTTGTCCAGCTGTCATGTCCATCTTGTCCTGCCGTCATGTCCATCTTGTCCTGCTGTCATGTCCATCTTGTCATCTTGTCCTGCTGTCATGTCCATCTTGTCATCTTGTCCTGCCATCATGTCCACCTTGTCCAACTGTCATGTCCATCTTGTCCTGCTGTCATGTCCATCTTGTCCTGCCGTCATGTCCATCTTGTCCTGCTGTCATGTCCATCTTGTCCTGCCGTCATGTCCATCTTGTCCTGCCGTCATGTCCATCTTGTCCTGCCATCATGTCCATCTTCTCCTACCATCATGTCACCCTGTAGCCCCTGACACATGTTGCCCTGCCGTCATGTCCATCTTGTCCTGCTGTCATGTCCATCTTGTCCTGCCGTCATGTCCATGTTGTCCTGCCGTCATGTCACCCTGTAGCCCCTGACACATGTTGACCTGTCCCCCACAGGGCAAGGACCTGTTCATGGACCTGGACAACACAAGTCTGAGGCTGGTGGACCCAGTGGATGGCGTGGTCCTCAACTCTCAGCCCATCCACTCCATCAGGGTCTGGGGTGTTGGCAGGGACAATGGGAGGTAAGTCATGTCAAGCCTTGACTTAACTGTTATAAACTTTAGTAATTTAGCCAACCAGCTGTCTAAATAATTGTTGTTGTAATGTGTGTTCTATTAAATGTGGTTCTCTGTGTAAAATATTCAATTTTATAATTATTTTTCTGCTGCTTTGGACTTGCCAGGGAAAGGTAACTCAATTTTAGAATTAGCATTAACTCCTTTTTTTCTTTCATTCTATTAAATGGTTACTTTTTCTTGATGTTTCATGATAACACATAATGATTTATTTTTAAATGGTTGTTTGTAAATGAGAAACTTGAAGTTCACCTTCATGTCGTTGTTCCCCTTTCACCCCCAGGGACTTTGCATACGTGGCCCGTGACCGAGGCACCCGGATGCACATGTGTCACGTGTTCCACTGTGACATGCCAGCCCGCCAGATTGCCAACACGCTGCGAGACATCTGCAAGAAGATCATGCTGGAGCGCAGCCTGCACCAGTCCGCTGTGGCCAGGCTCATGCGGCCCACAGACCTGCCCAATCTGGACAAAGTTGGACAGCCCAATGGGGAGAAGCTATCATTCCAAAACCTCTATAACAGTATGTTGTTCCAAAACCTCTATAACAGTATGTTGTTCCAAAACCTCTATAACAGTATGTTGTTCCAAAACCTCTATAACAGTATGTTGTTCCAAAACCTCTATAACAGTATGTTGTTCCAAAACCTCTATAACAGTATGATGTTCCAAAACCTCTATAACAGTATGTTGTTCCAAAACCTCTATAACAGTATGTTGTTCCAAAACCTCTATAACAGTATGTTGTTCCAAAACCTCTATAACAGTATGTTGTTCCAAAACCTCTATAACAGTATGTTGTTCCAAAACCTCTATAACAGTATGTTGTTCCAAAACCTCTATAACAGTATGTTGTTCCAAAACCTCTATAACAGTATGTTGTTCCAAAACCTCTATAACAGTATGTTGTTCCAAAACCTCTATATCAGTATGTTGTTCCAAAACCTCTATAACAGTATGTTGTTCCAAAACCTCTATAACAGTATGTTGTTCCAAAACCTCTAAAACAGTATGTTGTTCCAAAACCTCTATAACAGTATGTTGTTCCAAAACCTCTATAACAGTATGTTGTTCCAAAACCTCTATAACAGTATGTTGTTCCAAAACCTCTATAACAGTATGTTGTTCCAAAACCTCTATAACAGTATGTTGTTCCAAAACCTCTATAACAGTATGTTGTTCCAAAACCTCTATAACAGTATGTTGTTCCAAAACCTCTGTAACAGTATGTTGTTCCAAAACCTCTATAACAGTATGTTGTTCCAAAACCTCTATAACAGTATGTTGTTCCAAAACCTCTATAACAGTATGTTGTTCCAAAACCTCTATAACAGTATGTTGGCTTGGGTTCTCTGGGACTCTGGTTACATGTCATCTACCTTTAGTTAACTCGCCTGTCATCTAACTTTCTCTCACACACCTGTCATCTACCTTTCTCTCACCTGTCATCTAACTTTAGTTAACTCACCTGTCATCTTTCTCTCACTCTCTTGTCATCTAACTTTCTCTCACTCACCTGTCATCTAACTCTCTTTCACTCACCTGTCTCTCACTTTCTCTCACTCACATGTCATCTACCTTTCTCTCACTCTCTTTTCATCTAACTTTCTCTCACCTGTCATCTAACTTTCACCTGTCATCTAACTTTCACCTGTCATCTACCTTTCTCTCTCGCCTGTCATCTAACTTTCTCTCACTGACCTGTCATATAACTTTCACTCACCTGTCTCTCACTTTCTCTCACTATCCTCTCATCTTCCTTTCTCTACTCACCTGTCATCTAACTTTCTCTCACCTGTCATCTAACTTTCACCTGTCATCTAACTTTCACCTGTCATCTACCTTTCTCTCTCGCCTGTCATCTAACTTTCTCTCACTGACCTGTCATATAACTTTCACTCACCTGTCTCTCACTTTCTCTCACTATCCTCTCATCTAACTTTCTCTCACTCTCCTGTCCTCTAACTTTCTCTCACTCTCCTGTCATCTAACTTTCTCTCACCTGTCATCTAACTTTCTCTCACCTGTCATCTAATGTTTGCTAACCCTCCCTCAGATGCCAGATTCCCCACCCCAATGGAGGAACCACGCAAGGTCATCAGGTGCCATTACCTGGGTATACAGGAGGTGATGAGACCCACAGGTAGGTTTTAAATATAGTTTTGACATAGGTAGGTTTACAATATAGACTTGACGCAAGTAGGTTTATAGTATAGACTTGACACAGATAGGTTTACAAGACACAGATAAGTTTACAATATAGTCTTGACTAGGTTTATTTTATTTTTGCAATAGAGAATTGTCACAGGTAGTTAAAAATATGGACTTTACTTCTGGTAGGTTTGAAGTTAGATGGAATGTTATTCCAGTTATTTTTTACAAGATTTATTTCTTCCCTCCCCACCCTCTCTGGCACAGGACGAGACATCCTAAACGAAGCCATACAGTACCTGTACTACCGCGTCCCCCCAGAGAAGTGGAAGTTTGTCAATGTGGCCATCGCACCGTCAACCATCACAGTCACAGAACATGGGGTAAGTCTGGTCACAGAACACGGGGTAAGTCTGGTCACAGAACACGGGGTAAGTCTGGTCACAGAACATGGGGTAAGTCTGGTCACAGAACATGGGGTAAGTCTGGTCACAGAACACGGGGTAAGTCTGGCTTCTTCAGCCATTGTCTGGCAGCTTGTTGACCTGGCTGGAGCTAGTCTAGCTGACATGTCTGCAACTAACCTAGGTTACATCCGGACGAATTCCATTAGATCTAAGCACCTCTCAAGCAATTCTAGCTATGTAAATGTTCAGTCCCGCCTATAGACAACGTTCAACTATCTATAAACCAAATGTCTTCCCCCACAGAATCCTGATGGGATCATTGAAGAGTGTCGTGTCAGGTTCCTGTCCTTCATGGGGATAGCTGTGGACAATGTCAAGTAGGTCAAGCTTTCTTACATTGGCATCATTTGTGTAGGAAATTTTAACATAACAATCAGGTCAATTATCCAGTCAGGCCAACAAACATCAGGTCAACTCAACAATCAGACAATCATCAGGTCAACAAAACCAGGTTAACCAAATAAACAAAAATTCCACAATTATAAAGTTGCACCCCTAAAATGTGTGGCCCAATACACCTCACTAAAAAAAATTGTGTGGGTAGCCTGCAAATTTGGAGTCTACCATCCAGTTTGTTTTGTTGTTTGATTCCATAGATACAAATAATGTTAAGAACAATGAAGTATGCCACTGAATCAACTCACAATTAAATTCAGTGATTTGTTTTTTAGAAAAAAATTACAGTATTTTGAAGTTTTGATTGACAAGTGTGAGTAAATGTAACTTGAATGTGTGGGTATGGGTTACTGACTGCAGTCTTGTGTTTCAGGCTGTGTGCATTCATCATGCACATTGTGAAGTTTTGATTGATAAGTGTGGTTATGGCTATCTGACTGTATTCTTGTGTTTCAGGCTGTGTGCATTCATCATGCACAACTCACAGAACAAATTCTTGTGCCATGTGTTCCATTGTGAGCCTAGTGCTGGACCAATGTGTAAGACCATAGAGGCTGCGTGTAAGGTTAGTATAGCCTTGTTGTAGACCAATGTGTAAGACCATAGAGGCTGGGTGTAAGGTTAGTACAGCCCTGTTGTACAGCCCTGTTGTACAGCCCTGTTGTACAGCCCTGTTGTAGACCAATGTGTAAGACTATAGAGGCTGCGTGTAAGGCTAGTACAGCCCTGTTGTACAGCCCTGTTGTACAGCCCTGTTGTACAGCCCTGTTGTAGACCAATGTGTAAGACTATAGAGGCTGCGTGTAAGGCTAGTACAGCCCTGTTGTACAGCCCTGTTGTACAGCCCTGTTGTACAGCCCTGTTGTAGACCAATGTGTAAGACTATAGAGGCTGCGTGTAAGGCTAGTACAGCCCTGTTGTACAGCCCTGTTGTACAGCCCTGTTGTACAGCCCTGTTGTACAGCCCTGTTGTAGACCAATGTGTAAGACTATAGAGGCTGCGTGTAAGGCTAGTACAGCCCTGTTGTACAGCCCTGTTGTACAGCCCTGTTGTACAGCCCTGTTGTAGACCAATGTGTAAGACTATAGAGGCTGCGTGTAAGGCTAGTACAGCCCTGTTGTACAGCCCTGTTGTACAGCCCTGTTGTACAGCCCTGTTGTACAGCCCTGTTGTAGACCAATGTGTAAGACTATAGAGGCTGCGTGTAAGGCTAGTACAGCCCTGTTGTACAGCCCTGTTGTACAGCCCTGTTGTACAGCCCTGTTGTAGACCAATGTGTAAGACTATAGAGGCTGCGTGTAAGGCTAGTACAGCCCTGTTGTACAGCCCTGTTGTACAGCCCTGTTGTACAGCCCTGTTGTACAGCCCTGTTGTAGACCAATGTGTAAGACTATAGAGGCTGCGTGTAAGGCTAGTACAGCCCTGTTGTACAGCCCTGTTGTACAGCCCTGTTGTAGACCAATGTGTAAGACTATAGAGGCTGCGTGTAAGGCTAGTACAGCCCTGTTGTACAGCCCTGTTGTACAGCCCTGTTGTAGACCAATGTGTAAGACTATAGAGGCTGCGTGTAAGGCTAGTACAGCCCTGTTGTACAGCCCTGTTGTACAGCCCTGTTGTAGACCAATGTGTAAGACTATAGAGGCTGCGTGTAAGGCTAGTACAGCCCTGTTGTACAGCCCTGTTGTACAGCCCTGTTGTAGACCAATGTGTAAGACCATAGAGGCTGCGTGTAAGGTTAGTACAGCCCTGTTGTAGACCAATGTGTAAGGTTAGTACAGCCCTGTTGTACAGCCCTGTTGTACAGCCCTGTTGTACAGCCCTGTTGTAGACCAATGTGTAAGACCATAGAGGCTGGGTGTAAGGTTAGTACAGCCCTGTTGTACAGCCCTGTTGTACAGCCCTGTTGTACAGCCCTGTTGTAGACCAATGTGTAAGACCATAGAGGCTGGGTGTAAGGTTAGTACAGCCCTGTTGTACAGCCCTGTTGTACAGCCCTGTTGTACAGCCCTGTTGTAGACCAATGTGTAAGACCATAGAGGCTGGGTGTAAGGTTAGTACAGCCCTGTTGTACAGCCCTGTTGTACAGCCCTGTTGTACAGCCCTGTTGTAGACCAATGTGTAAGACCATAGAGGCTGCGTGTAAGGTTAGTACAGCCCTGTTGTACAGCCCTGTTGTACAGCCCTGTTGTACAGCCCTGTTGTAGACCAATGTGTAAGACCATAGAGGCTGCGTGTAAGGTTAGTACAGCCCTGTTGTACAGCAGATATGGTCATCATCTCTGGGCACACAGATAACACTATAACTAAGGAGATACAGGCTAGGATATTGCCTCACAGAATAAATAATGTGTAAAAATTAAGCTTTTTGTCTTTAAAATTATCAAATTATAATATAATTTTGTTGATGTATTTAAGCTAAAGAAAACATTAATCAAATAATTTATGTTTGCAATTGTTGACTTGTCATTTGAAACATCTTTTACCTATTTCAATACCCTGTTTAATTATCCTGTTTGACTATCTCGTTATCCAGCTGCGCTACCAGAAGTGTTTAGACGCCCACCCCCAGACACCAAAAGGTGGACTTCAAGGGAAGGTAAGTCTGGCGTCTGCTGGTGTCTCCAGCTTACATGTTACCCTGATGTCAGTAGCCACTTAGAGGTTTTTACAGGGGAGGTAAAAATATTTTGGAAATGAATATGTTCCTAAAACTATTTTTGGTCATGAATAATATGTTCCTAAAAATATTTTGGTCATAAATAATATATTCCTAAAAATATTTTGGTCATGAATAATGTTCCTAAAAATATTTTGGTAATGAATAATATGCTCATACTAATATTTTTGTAATGAATATGTTCCTAAAAAAATTTTGGTAATGAAAATATTCTGTACTTAAAAATATTATGTACATTAAATAAATATTACGTGCATGAAAATATTAGCATAATATTCAATAAATTAAAATATTTTGATGCAAATATTCTGTAAATGAAAACCCTTGCGGTAAAATATTATATTTTTATATTATTCTTGCCACCAATCTTAAACTTGAGTTTAGTCTTAAGGGGATATGCGCGGAAAAAAATCACAAAATTTCTTGTTTTTCGTCATGATGGGTTTCTTGCACTTTTGGATACTTTGTCCATTTTTGTATAAAGAAAATAATAACTTTAAAGAAAAAAAAAAATTATGTGTTTGAATTACGATTTTTATGACCCTATTAATTAAAAAATAATCAATTTTTCCCAATCTTACAAGCTCTCTATGAAAAGTTTTATATACGTCATTATATTGTATTTGACATCATTGGAAAGCTGGATTTCTCATGTATCTAGTAAACTTAATTTCCTACATCTCGGAAACACCCAAAGCTTACAATCGGCTTTGCAGTTTACACAGATATGGTACTTTCCTGACCTAGTTTTCGTTACTTTTGGCTGTTTTTCTCAGTTCGCATGTTTTTAACACCAAAAAGCCTACTACTTTTTTATTTATTAAACAATGCCAACCATATTTTCAGTAATTGTTCTTGATGCAAAAATACAACTTTTGTCACGAGGGAATTGTGATTGCTTTCAAAGAAAAAAAGTATTTGGTAATTAATATGCAAATTTTGAAACTTTTGAATACTAAAAAGGGTACGATTTTTTAGACCTTGTAAAATTCTTACTAGTAATTATTTCAAAAAGTTGTCGTGACAAAAGTTTTAATATATACTGAAATATAAGCAGTTTAAATTTGATTGCTATAGGTGCATAAATAAAAAAGCCTTAGTATTTTTAAAAGTACCGAAAAATTCAAAATGGCGGAGGTTTTTTGGGTTTCCATGACAACCAAAATTGTTTCCCACCCTTTTTTTTGCTGTTTAATACTTACTTTTATATGCCAAATATGATTAAAGTATTCAAAAGGCTTTAGATCTTAAACTGTAAAAAATAGAAAAAAACATAGCATATCCCCTTTAGAGGAAAGCATAAATTATTCAAATAAAAAAAAAACTAAAGAACAAAGCCTTAAAAATTAAATCTTTAAAAACAAACCCAAAAGAAATAATGCTGATAAGTAAATGCTAAAAATGAAACCATATATTTTATAAAGGTAATTTAGAACAACTAATTCTGTTAAAGTTTCCTTTTTCAAAAGCTTATTTAGTATAGTTGTTGTGTGTATGGTGTGTACTTGTGTGTTATTATAGTATAGTTTGTGTGTGACAGTCTGTGTGTGACAGTTTGTGTGTGACAGTCTGTGTGTGACAGTTTGTTTGTCTGTGATAAAGTTGTGTCCTGTTCTGTCTTACAATATATGTGTCATGTACAATCCTTCTAAGAGCACATCTGCCATGATATTATATTTGTCTGTGCTAATGGTTTAAGAAAACAATCTCTGTGCTTTTTCTCACGATCTCACTATGATTATAGCCGTTACATATTCATGAATGAAATAATGAAACAAGCGGCAGAAATGTATTTCCATCTTTTAGCACTCTGCACTTTTTGTCTGCTTTTATCCCTTATATCTGCATGTTACATGTTTTTACTCTAATTAGCTCGGCTGTTTTTCACTGAATATAATTTTTTACATTATTTAATTGCTAAAATTATTTTTAATGTTGAAACTAAATCCATGTATTAATTATTGTTGATTATTATTGTTTATCATTTATACGTAAATAATGTTATGCTGGAGATGCTATGTTGTACGTGTTGGTTTACCAGAATGGGGAGTCCAGGGGCTTATTTAAAACTCTCTTGATCAAATATTTTAAGAAAACAAATTCCGATGAAGTATTAATACAATGCCATTCAGGAAGTGATGTGATCTTGTAATCCAAGAATGTTGGTAGAATAAAGTTTTGTGTGAACAATCTACTTCACAGTACAAACTAAAACTGGATGCTCAGAAGGCTTTTGATAAATTTAAATGTGTAGCTCAATGTCTAATGCTAGGGTGAAAAGTTTAAAATTATCAATACATGGATTTAGTGTCTGATCAGCTGTAGACATTAGTTTGTCTGTTCTGTGTTGAGTGTTTTTCATTTCCTTATGCACTTGATATTGTGACCTCTGTAGAATGTAGGGGAAGTTCTAAGTGCAGGATTCAAGGCAGGAGTTCAAGGGTTGAAGGTCGGAGTTCAGGAGGTCAAGTCTGGAGCTGTACACGGGGTTATGGGAGTTCTGAATTTATTCAAGGGAAAAATGGGTTCTAGATCCAATGAGTCCTGATGGTTACTGCCCCTTAGTATATTGTATAGGTAACTGTTTTAATTCTTCTTGATTTATTGTTGCCTCCCATTAAAAGCTCACCCAAACATGTTTTGTGTATTTTTGTTTAGTGTAATCTATGTAAATGTTTCTTTCTTTTTAAATATTGATATAATTCAACTGTATGCAAATCACTAAGTAAACTTGCCCCATTGAAATTAATTTTTGTGATACTTTTATTTTCCTAAGCACTCAGTGATTAGAGTATGTATCAGCCTCTAACTGTACTTGCACGCTTTAAATGCCATTCCGCCATTCTCGTATGCTTTCAATAGCAGCTTAAAACTTTATTTCAACTCATAAATGTCCTCTCTGTTCAAAATTAGGCTTCTTATAATCAATCAAAATAGATCATTTAAAAAAAAAAAAATATTTCTTACTGAGAGCAAGTGTAAATGATCAATGTATCCATTAGTGGTCGACAGAATTATTAAATTAATTCTCCAGTGTTTTGCATACAAATTTTTGAAATTTTTTACTGTTTACAAATATATTACTTCTAGCCCTGAATATCAGTATGGTGAAGTTAATATTTGCTTTCTAGTATAGTAAGTATTCAGTTGAGTAGTTTTGTTTGATAGTTATTGTTTATGAATGAACTTTTCCACTCTGTAGAGCCTGAGAACCAGCATCAAACAGAGCATTCAGTGTGTCTGGGGTTCTGTCACCCAGCTAGCCTCACCTAAATAGGCAGATGTCAAGCAGGTCCTGCATCAACTGATGGTGGAACATTCTGGAAATTTGCTGTCCTCGTACGAAAAGATTACAGCCAGTCCACTGCTTTGGTGAAAATCAAAAGATTGAAATTTTTGGACCTGGATTTTTAAGATGATTTGTTTTTTAAATGTGGATTATGTAAATTAATTACTTGTGCAATTGAAATTAAGGATAATTTTAGTCCTGGTTCCTGATTGATATTTTCTCACTTAATTCGCTTTGTCTAGATTATTTCCTAGTTAAGTGTTGAATATAGCAATTTTTATTTTACCATAAATGAGATTCTTTAGTAGCACATATTTTTTTGGCCAGAATATACTATAGTTGAGGCATTATCTGGCAATGTTTATTTTTACACAATGATTTAATGGGTTTTAACATTTTTAACAAACATACTGTTATATTTTCCAAATTTTTCAGTTATTTTAATCTGTATTTTTATTCTGAGGTTGTTACTGTTTTTAAAAACAAAAGACAGAAAGATTTGTTAATCTCAAATCTTGTCATTCCATGGGCTGTGTTGTGTTCTGTGGCGGAGTCTGGTTAAAGGTTGCCTAAACTGCTAGGTGGTGGGTGGCTAGACCTGGTCAGGTGGTGGGTGGCTAGACCTGGTCAGGTGGTGGGTGGCTAGACCTGGTCAGGTGGTGGCTAGACCTGGTCAGGTGGTGGGTGGCTAGACCTGGTCAGCTGGTGGGTGGCTAGACCTGGTCAGGTGGTGGCTAGACCTGGTCAGGTGGTGGGTGGCTAGACCTGGTCAGCTGGTGGGTGGCTAGACCTGGTCAGGTGGTGGGTGGCTAGACCTGGTCAGGTGGTGGGTGGCTAGACCTGGTCAGGTGGTGGCTAGACCTGGTCAGCTGGTGGGTGGCTAGACCTGGTCAAGTGGTGGGTGGCTAGACCTGGTCAGGTGGTGGCTAGACCTGGTCAGGTGGTGGGTGGCTGGACCTGGTCAGGTGGTGGGTGGCTGGACCTGGTCAGTTGTTTGTTACACCTGGTCAGTAGTCTGTTACACCTGGTCAGTTGTTGGGTATTCTCTACTTAAATCTCCACCTCCATTTTATGACAATGGTTAGCTAACATCATCAACACAAACTTTAATATTTTGACATTAATAAAAAAATCACTAATGCGGAAATAAATGTTTCACAAGAATAATAGACCTAGGTCACATGACTTGCCAGGGGCTCTAGAAAAAATAGTTCCCAGCTGTTCTTGTTCCACCCCACTAGCCACAGAATTTCTAGGGATTATCCTGGGATGGGGAATTCTTGTTGCTAATGGGGAAATCCATTTTAAAACATCATTTATGTGCTAGGTGTTTCCTTGTTAAAATATGATTGCAATTTATTTGATCTATGAGAGGAGGAAAAGTTTGGAAATTTCAGTTGATGAAGTAGTGGATGCTTGTCAAAATAAAGCTCTAGTCCCATCTGGCAATGGTAACACATTGTTCTGGCAATGGTAACACATTGATCTGGCAATGGTAACACATTGATCTGGCAATGGTAACACATTGATCTGGCAATGGTAACACATTGTTCTGGCAATGGTAACACATTGATCTGGCAATGGTAACACATTGATCTGGCAATGGTAACACATTGATCTGGCAATGGTAACACATTGATCTGGCAATGGTAACTCATTGATCTGGCAATGGTAACTCATTGATCTGGCAATGGTAACACATTGATCTGGCTATGGTAACACATTGATCTGGCAATGGTAATACATTGATCTGGCAATGGTAACACATTGATCTGGCAATGGTAACACATTGTTCAATTGTTGTGAACGGGTAAACCAAAGAATTGTTTACTGTGTCCCATTCCAAATTTGTATCTAACTTAGAATAAACTATAACATCTTTACAAGCTCCACCTTTGATCACAGCAACTAAACAGTGTATCAACAAAGTATTACCTCAAGCTGATAACTCACTTTAGAAATGACTTTCTTAAAAAAAAATGATACGGTGATTGTATTTTAATTTGACTTTTTAAATTTCTCTGGTGTGATGTGACCACAGAAATCTCCACACATATCTTACAACATATACTTTTTGCTTATCTGATCCATGTTTTTTATTTACCTGATCCATGTTTTTATCTTATACAACAAAAACAATACTTAACATATTGTATGAATCAATCAATCATTCAACTAACACTGCATTGAGATCAGAACTGTTTACATATCTGGAGATAAAATTTCTTGTATCAAAGCTGTTCATGTTAACCTTTTGATAAACTATTTATTTCAGTTATCCCCCTTGTATATACACAATTTGAATGTTCAACTTTTTGACAAATTTTTAATTTGAACATTCCTTGTAAAGCTTGCCATAATTTATTACTTTTATAGTTAGCTGTGTTTAATGAGTCAGTTAATTTGTAGAAATATTTTAATTGTTGACTTTTAATGAAAGTGGTCAATACATTGCTTCTTGTCTGTAGCCTAGTCTCTGGTGTTTACAAAAACCTGTCCACCTCTGGTAAAAGTTTTTAAAAATTCATTTTTAAAAATAACATTTCTTTTAAGTATGCAAATAATTTATTTGCAGAATTTAAACTATATTAACCTAGATTTAATATTGGCCTACTGGCAAAAGAAATATAATGAAAAAATTTAAAGACTGTATGTTTCCATCAGGAGTTAACGATTGCATGTCTTTTCCTAATGTAGATGTGGGCAGAGTTAAATCCCTGCAGTCCCACAAATATTTTGATCCCACTAAGTGTTGCCAGAGTTAAATCCATGCAGTCCCACAAATATTTTGATCCCACTAAGTGTTGCCAGAGTTAAATCCATGCAGTCCCACAAATATTTTGATCCCACTAAGTGTTGCCAATGTTTGTATTCTTGCATCATGTCCCACATTCCTCAACATCAAGACATTATTCTGTGGGTAGGTTAACTTAAGCGGGTTTAATTCAATTTGTTGTTAGTTGTAAACTCAATGGTTTAAAGTATTAAAGTAATTTAGTTTTGTATGATGTAAATTTAACAACTTTTCACTAGACTGATAATCACCTAAAGAAGCATAATATTTATATCTGTAAACTTAATCTTATTGTTTGTTTATATAATTTATTTAATTCTATGTAAAATTGTGAATTTTTTTACAAAAACTATGTAAAGATGAATGTACACAAGCAGCTTTTTAAAAACATGATTTAACAGTTGCCTACCTAGTATGTCACAATTTGTTACTCAATAGAAAAGATCACTTGCTTTTAATTGTGATTATCTCCCTTTGTTTACCGCAGTTATCTTCCTTACACCGTCTGAAATATGTTTGAAAACCTTTTCTTTTGCTGGTTTTTCATTAACATGTCCTTTTTTTAACTGCTATTAAAATTTGTTAAATGATGTCATTGCCACACTTACCTGTATTAAACAAAAAACTGTTATCATTACTTTTGTTTTAAAACATGATACAGACATAACATCCCCTATTCCACTTTGAGAGATAAAATATTTTCTAACTCCATGCATACCTACATTTTAGTTTCAGTTAAAAAACAAAACTTTGACAGTGTATTTTTACATATTAATTTTTTTCGACCATTGACCAATTTGTAAAGGTTCATATTTTACCATTATGGCCAGTTTATTTGTAAAGGTTCATATTTCACCATTTTGGGCAGTTTATTTGTAAAGGTTCATATTTCACCATTTTGGCCAGTTTATTTGTAAAGGTTCATATTTCACCATTTTGGCTAGTTTATTTGTAAAAGTTCATATTTCACCATTATGGCCAGTTTATTTGTAAATTTGTATTTGTCCATCTGGCCAGCGATTTGATGTGATATGTAGTCAATGGTTAGTTAGTCCTCAACATGCATGCCTTTAGCTGTTAGCTGACCACAACACAAACATGCTCTTTGGTTTTTAATTTGTCTTTGTGCTAATGAATAAATTAATTAATATGCAAAATATTTTGTTTTTGTTGTGTTTTTAGTTTTCACCATGTGGATTGTGTCAGAAGACACCCCCTCCCTTTATAAACCTAAAGAAATTGAGCCTACGTCACGGGGTGTGACAGACTTACTAAACCTGGGAAAATCTGGCTCTCCAACGACACATTATTTATATTCAGCTGTTTTTTTTTTATACAGGTGTTTTTATTTAACAAACAAAATCCATTTATCGCATGCTTATCGAGTGCAATCATCCTAAAGAAAAATCAGGGGAGATAATAAGGAAATACTTGAGCTCTTGCATTTATTGAATTGTCTACCCTGTTTTTACAACAACAAAAAATTTATTAGTGAACACAAAATAATAATGGCTTTAATTAAATCTCATTTAAGGAAGCCTACTCCGATAGGCTAACTACTAATAAACAGTGACGGAAAGTGTGCGATCGTTGCTATGGTAACCCTAAATTTAGTTTATCCATACAGACAGCCTTTAGGGGTACAACCAGAGGCGTATCCAGGTTTTCGTTGTAGGGGGAGCGAAAAGAGCAAAAAAAAGGCGCCGAATTTTTAACACGTTCTATATACGTGTATTATATATATATATATATATATATATATATATATATATATATATATATATATATAATTACTAGCTGTATGTCATTACTTCGCTATGATGTAAAATAAATTGAAAGTAGCACTCTGAAGAAATAAGAAAAAAAAACACCATGTAGGCCGACAAAACAAAAATTGTATAAATCTAAACAAAAAAAAATATACACACACTACAACCAAAAATAATGAACGTAACACAATCTGTTTTGTAATTCTTGTAAGAAAATTTCTTATAAATAATTCCTGGGAAATTATTTAAGACAAGTGAAATATGGGAAATAATCACTCTCTTAATATAAATATGTATATATCTACACATTTAACTATATAAAATGTCAAAACAAATAAATAACTACTTTAGAATATAATAAAATTGTTTAACACTATTCGTGTTTACAAATGTTTTTGTCAATAATCAGAATTTAATATATCGACATCATAAATGCTAAAGTATTACAGCATAATGAAAGTTTTTAAAATCAGAGTTGGTATAAAAACACGCTTTTCGAATGAATTGAAAACAATCGGAATAACAGCCTACATTTAACTAAAGAACGGTATTTTTAGTTCAGATCATTATACTTTTAATTAACTACTGCTTCTTTGTGTTCTTTAAAGATCATTTTTTTACATAGTGATATATATGGGTTAGATCACTGTATTGATCACACACCTTTTTACTGGTAATTGCAAAAACAATATTCACAGAGTTTTACGTTTAAAAAGCTAATTTTTTTGGCGGCATGGTACTTTGGTACATCATTACGCGTTTTTCTACATGTACTTAACAGATCAGTTCGGGGTGGGTTTGGGTGGGGGGGGGGGGGGTTCAACTTCATTCACCACTGTCCGGTCACTTTAGGTCAATTATCCAACCCAGTGTATAGGGCTGGTAAGTAGGTCACCAACCAGTTCTACTGCTCAATAAAACGTGCATGAGCCATAGAACTGGTTGGTGACCTACTTACCAGCCCTTTACCTAGGTGTGACATTAATGTCGCTCTACACAATTGTGGTGGTGAGGTGTGGGGGGGGGGGGGGAGATAATCAACTCATAGTGAACATAGCGTCAGTTTTTAGATGACTGTTCTAAACATACATATATATTACACAAATATATATTACACAAATATATATATGACTTTGTTGACCTTGTCAAAATTTCCCCACCACTACGCAGTTTGCTCATAAGTTAATTTAAATAGAGGTGCCACATCAGTTGTATTTGTTTCTGTATTGTAATTTTTTTTTTAAATTAATCGCACGATTTAAACTGTATATATAAAGTAAATATTTGTGAAGTTTTATGTATAACATTTTCTAATTCAATTATTCGTAAGCAAATACATTATACAGTTGCCTTAAACTTAACACCCCTCTTGCCAAGTGGTACTACCCGTAGAGGTTTTTTACTAGACTAGTACAATAACGCTTAATTGCTGCATGAAAAGAAATCTTGTGATTTACATAGATGTGCCGACCAAAAATAATTTTTTAACAAAAATCATTGTTTAAAATTTTGAGTTTAAAAAGTTTCCAAAAAGGCGCCACTTTGCTGAAAATGGCCACAGGGGGAGCGGCCGCTCCCCCTGCTCCCCCCCCTGCTTACGCTACTGGGTACAACATGTCTACCAGATAGCCAAGAGCAGATACTCAGATAGCCACACAGATACTCAGCCACACTCAGTGTGATCAGCTCAGTTTTGATGATTAAAGACTACTGACTAAGAGGGCGGTGTGCTAACTGTGGGTTATTTTTCTGCCATATATATGTTTATCATTCTACTGTTTACTATATTGATGTCTGTCAAATTTTCGTTCTGTCTGTCTCCTCTTCCCTTCCCCCCCACCCCCCCCCCCCCCCCCCCGCTCCCCCACCCACACACTACTAGGCCAACCTAAGGTTGACTAAATGTCGTGGAACGCGTGGACTCGCTGTCCCAATTAGCGAAATGACCACGGGCAATATCGGAGAAAACCAAACGACTGTAAACCCGCAGTAACGATAACCCATAGTAACGATAATCCTCAGGACCGATAACTCTCCCTGCGGCCCATTGTCCTTTCGTCATGTCCTATGGTCGCTAATTAGATCAGCTAACTCCCACCCGCCACAATGTCCTATGATTTTAACTTGATAATACTTCCAGTTGTTTCTTACAAAATATATTTTCCGTACAGTTTCTTAAAACATTTTGTTCCATTCTTACCATTTTTGGAGAATGGTGGACGTTGATGGACGTCAGGGCTGTTAGGGGTCGTCCATAAATGACGTCACACTCGTATGGGGGAGGGGGGGTTCGTAATTTTGTGACGGTATGTGATGAGGGGGAGGGGGGTTCAGATGGTGCGACGTCACACTTTTGCATTATAAAAAAGCAATGTTAGAAAACGAATTTTTGACGTTATTTTGCGTTTTAGAAAAGTGTTTTAATAAATTGTAATAGGAATTGATTAAAATACTCTATTTTGACAGAGTTCAGACAAGATTTTGGAAAAAAAATCGATGTTTAAAAAAAAATTCAACTGCAAATTTGAAGGGGGTTGTATGTTGAGGTGTGACGTCATTTTAGGGGGGGGGGGTCTGGCTTTTTGTGGCAATGTGTGACGGAGAGGAGGGGGAGGTAAAATCGTCAAAAAAAAGCGTGACGTCATTTATGGATGACCCCTTACGGCGTTGTCCGTACGTTATACAAGTGACATACGTAAGCAAAACGAAGACAGTGATTTAGACACAATCCCCTTTGACTGAATTCTGCCAATAATTTTTTTTTTTTAACAACGTCAAAACAGGAAACGTAAAGGAACTGTTAAAATATCGTAACAGTGTTCTTTGTAACAGTGTTATTGTAACAGTGTTCTTGTAACGATGTTTTTACTTTCTCGTATATACGTAGTATAGAGAAAGTATTGTAATCGTGCAAAAAAAAAAATCGAGATTTTTACAAATCTCGACGTTTTACACCTCACTGATACGGAAAAACATAATTTTGCAATCTTGTCCGTATGTCTGTGTGTGTGTGTGTCTGTGTGTCTGTCCGTGTGTAAACACGATAACTTGAGTACCGTTACAGCTAGGTTGATGAAATTTCATATATAAGTATTTTATCAAAATCGTAGATCCGTATCAACTTTTGAGCGATTTCCGATAACCGGAAGTGGTACTTTTCCTACTTTGAATTTTTCAAAAGCCTATAACTTGAGTACTATTTCAGATAGATAAATGAAATTTCACATGTAAGTAAAAGATCTAATTCTCTACCTTCTGTTAAATTTTGAGTAATTTCCGTTGACTGGAAGTAGTAATTTACGCTACTTCCGATTTCTCAAAAAACTAATGTAAATTTTTAAAGTACTAATAATATTGCGCACTATTATACGCGTTTTTATTCGGCGTTTGCTTGGTGCGCAATGTTTTTTTTATGAGATTCTATTCTATTTTTAAAAGTTTAAGTATTTAAAATGGATTAAAAATCATAACTATATCCCCAGTTACCATCCCCTGTTGTTTTATATAAGAATATTCGAGAAAGTTTAGGGGAGATCACTACCGGTTTATTTTTTTTAATGTTCGCACTGTTAAGCTGGTAATGTAACGTTGATTGGTGCCGTTGTTCTTATGACGTAAATCACGTGCCTTTGGTTATGTGATGTAGCTCTTTTGACGTTGGCAATACGACATGTCCATATACTGCATTTTTTTTAAATGATATTTATTTTGATGGTTATTCGAGAATCTCAAAGTTTTGAGAACCTTTTTTTTTCTGGTTCGTCACAGGTTTCATAGCTCCAATTAGCGTTGTGTCATTCACTGTCAGCCTATGTCCCCTTGTGGCTAGCACAACAGGACGCTGACCTAAATACCGACCAGCTGGCTCCCGACCATCCCATGGCCCCCAGACATAAGGATGGTCAATTCCTGAAGGTCGGAATATTCCTGGAAGCGAGGGCTAATATTTCCTTAGGCTGAAAGCGAGGGTTAATTTATGCCGTGGGTTCTACTGAAGGTTAGAGCAAGAAGACTTTTAGGGCTTGTCTGAAAACAACAAAACAGACCCGGGTTCGAATCCATTTGAGTTGATTAAAATCCTAAATACGGCAAGCTTTGAAGGTGAATCCAGCCTGAAGACCTGATAATCATCACGACAAAATAGTTTTGAAACAATGGGTTTGCTGTGAGTTGTGGTCAGTACACAACATACAATGTCGTGGTCAGTACACAACACTGTGTTCTACTTTCAAGAGATGTGTGATTTAATGGGAGTGATAGGGTTAGTGTTACTGTATTGGGTAACCTGTCTAGTCTTTAGTGTTCACTCGTGTGTTGTTATTGTTGTTGTTGTTGTGAGCTGATGTCAGTCGTTACGTTTTCTTTCCCTATTTTAAAACCATTTTAGTCGAGTACATAAGGACGGGTGAAAGTGTAAAGCGTGGTCCAGATGTTCACATGGCCGCTCTAATAATTCGGGTGTTTGTGTACCAGTGGTCTAAGGTGTTATTTTTAGGTCAGTTAGAATAGACCGCGTGTTTCTCTGTTAGTTTATGTAGTGTGTACATGTTTATTACGTTGTTTACAATTTTTAATTATAACGAGCCTTTGTTTTTCTCTATCAGTTCCAGTGTGTGTGAGAGCGGTTGTCCTGTGATGCGATTGACCTCACGCCTCCTGTGTGGACTTGTTCATATTATACTGTGTACTAACTTGACTTGTTCCTTTGTGGCCCCTGGGGAGCAAAGGGCTGTAGCCACACCTCTCCTGGGGAGCAAAGGGCTACAGCCACACCTCTCCTGGGGAGCAAAGGGCTACAGCCACACCTCTCCTGGGGAGCAAAGGGCTAAAACCACACCTCTCCTGGGGAGCAAAGGGCTGTAGCCACACCTCTCCTTGGGAGCAAAAGGCTACAGCCACACCTCTCCTGGGGAGCAAAGGGCTGTAGCCACACCTCTCCTGGGGAGCAAAGGGCTACAGCCACACCTCTCCTGGGGAGCAAAAGGCTACAGCCACACCTCTCCTGGGGAGCAAAGGGCTACAGCCACACCTCTCCACCTGACTCTGTTCTGAGCGGCTCTCTTTATTTACTGTGTACTAAGGATAAGGCGAAAATTGGACGGACAATGAAAGGTGTGTTACAGGTAAATTTATTTCATTGACAACATTTTTCATTTTTTATGTACGACACCGGTGTGACACATTGTCACGTTACATCACATGACAGTCACGTCATAGCACGTGACAACAACGTGATACATTCTCACTTTAAATAACAGGATAAAACCAGGACCACAATATCCCAAATTCTCATCGACAATATACACGTGACCAACATCCGGGTCATAAGTACAACAAAGTCACGTGACAACCATCCACAGTACGGGATAAAATGTGACAACGTACAGTGTGACACGGGGGGGGGGGGGATCTCGAGATCTTGAACTAGTTACCGGAAGAGAGTTAGAACTAGAGTTCTTTAAGGTCGATTTGTTGAATAATGTACACACCCCAGCAGTTGATGAAGACGATGTATTTCAGCCACACTGAGCAAGGGCGGCAACTAAGCTGCCACTTCTGACATCAGCTCTCTACCTCATTCCATCTGACCCTCGGTCACTCGTTTCAATGTGTTAAAAGAAACTTGTGTTCTATCACACATTATGTCCCCTTGTCACATCTTAAGTTCTGTCCCCTTACTCTATACATCACCGAGGTCTGAATTAGGAACAATAACTCAAGAAGGGCAATTGAAAGAAATAAACGTCGGAGGGTGTGAGAAAGATAAAAAACCCCACTTAAATGTTTATTTTCTAGTAACACTAAAAGCCAATGGGGAAATAAATGCTTGAAATGAAAAAATAAAATCCGATCGTAAGTTGACCTATTCATTGATTTCTCAAGTCCTCGGTAAAAACTGCATTAGAAGGGTCTCGTTACACCTAACTCTTCTGCACTTGGTGTTAAGGTCAGATAAATCTTTGAGATATTTTTTTTTTAATTATAATTGTTACAACTCCACAACTTCAACATTTAAGATAAACTCGCAATTGCTGTTTGAATATAAGGGACGTATCCGCCATTTTGTTCAATCGGAACCACTTCCGGTGTCAAGAATATCATCGGCGTCCTTGCTGAGCTTCTTGCACCGGTCCATCAAGGGGTTTCTGACTCTGACGGAGTCGAGCGGCAGGACGCTGGAGGTTGTCGACGCCATGGAGTTGAACCTCTCGCTCAGCCTCGAGACGGCTGTACTCCGGCGCTTCTGGTCGCGGCTGTTCTGGAGCTGTTTGGACTGGAGCTGCTGCATTCGTCTCTCTCGTAGACTTTGTGGTGGGCCTCGGCACTGTGGGGGTAGCGAGGGGGGTGGTGGGGACAGTTTTAGTAGTAATATATATATATATATATATATATATATATATATATATATATATATATATATATATAAGCCTATACCATATTACATATGATATATTATTACAGATTAAATTACACTCATAAATATTATTAATCTCTTACCTGAAACACTCTAAGAAATGCCTCTCTAAATTTTTTATTCATGAAACAGTAGGTGATAGGGTTACAACATGAAGAAAAGTAACTGAGCAGGTGAAACAGAGTTTTGGTCAGGGGCGTCACAATCTGTCATAAGAAAAAAAAATATTTGTTAATTCTGTGTTTTCTACGTGCTCTAATTTCTTAGATTCAAATTTTCTTATTCTTAGCCACAATCTTATGCCTAAAATTAGATGACATTAATTTAACAGCAAACATTTTATATGCGGTCTTATTCAAATTATTACAACGAGCCGACCCGCGGTGTATCATACGCCGCTATTTAGTTGTTGTTTTTTCTACTTTTCAGTAATTCATAATTTGTGAATTCGACAGTACCAATGCTGCCCCTCGTGAAAGCAGCCTCCTCTTCTAAGTTTAAAATCGTTTCAAACTAAATTATCTGCCCCTAATAGCCGTCACCAAACCCGACTCTGCTTGTAAACATTTGGCGTGAACCACAGCTCACAAGACCATGTGAGGGGGGTGGGGGTGGTAGCTATAGAGAGGAAGAGAGGGGACTGCAAGGCGCGCTTGCAGCTTGTTTTCTAACGTCTCCCAGAAGAGAATTATATATATATAGATTATCACATATTTTTCTCAAACACTGTTTACAATCAATAACTCATATATTTATTTAGATTCCACTCACTTTATTATTAAAAACTGATTATCTTTTGCTAACGTCATCAATGAAACTTACAATTAATTTCATGCATGTTTTAAACCACCACAAAAGTTACATCATCTTCTGTTGTTATATAATCTTTGGCTAGCCTACAGCTGTTGTCTCCCCCACTTTCACGTATTTTTTTTTCTTTAGCGAGTGAAAAACTCGCCGAAATCTTGGATTGTCTCCCATATTATCTTCTACTTGGCACGAAACATCAATTGTCTCCCTCTTGAGACCCTTCTAACTCTAACGATCTCAATCGATCTTTAATTAAACACGTTGTAATTTAATTTATCTTAACTTTTTTAACTACTCCCGGACTTTCAAAATTTGAAATGACCCATCAAGATTATAGACCCCCCCCCCCCCACCCCACAAGCACCTCTCTACTCACCAGCTGGGCAAACTTCTCACGGAATGCCATCCACGTCAGAAAGATATACACCCAGGTCCTGCAGATAGCAACATCCCTCTCTACCCCCACTCCCCCACATCCTCACCCCTCACCTTCATCACACCCACCTGTTGAGCACTCTCCTCATGAAACGCTAGCCACGTCAGCACGATGTTGACCGGCGTCCAGCAAATGACACCATCCCCCCACACCACCCATAGCCTCCCACACCCCTACCCCCCCTCACCCCACCCCGACCCACCTGTTGAGCACTCTCCTCATGAAACGCCAGCCAGGTTAAAACGATGTATACCGGCGTCCAGCAGATGACGACCCCCCCCCCCCACCCCTACCTCCCCCTCCCCCCACCCCGACCTACCTGTTGAGCACTCTCCTCATGAAACGCCAGCCAGGTTAAAACGATGTATACCGGCGTCCAGCAGATGACGACCCCCCCCCCCCCACCCCTACCTCCCCCTCCCCCCACCCCGACCTACCTGTTGAGCACTCTCCTTATGAAACGCCAGCCAGGTTAAAACGATGTATACCGGCGTCCAGCAGATGACGACCCCCCCCCCCCCCACCCCTACCTCCCCCTCCCCCCACCCCGACCTACCTGTTGAGCACTCTCCTTATGAAACGCCAGACACGTTAAAACGATGTAGACCGGCGTCCAGCAGATGACGACACCACCCCACCCCCTCTCACCCCCCACCCCTACCTCCCCCCCCCTTCCCCCTCCACCCCAACCCACCTGTTGAGCACTCTCCTCATGAAACGCTAGCCAGGTCAGCACGATGTAGACCGGCGTCCAGCAGATGACGACACCACCCCACCCCCTCTCACCCCCCACCCCTACCTCCCCCCCCCCACCCCCACCCCCCTTCCCCCTCCACCCCAACCCACCTGTTGAGCACTCTCCTCATGAAACGCCAGCCAGGTCAGCACGATGTAGACGGGCGTCCAGCAGATAAAGAACTCGAGGACGACGACAAACAACATCCGTATGACGCGCATCTTGTTCTGACGGATCTTCTCGGGGTTGCTGTGACGTATCCGGTTCGGCACGGACCTCCGTGACTTCCGGCCTGTAGGTGGCGTTGTTATCGTCCCTGGCGAGGACAATAAAGGATAATTAATTACGATTTGATTACTTTCCATATTTAAAATATTAAATGGATAAGAAAGTATTTTTCTTATAATCTGAAAGTTAAGTAGGCATTAAGAGTATAAGACTATGGCGAGATTAGCAATGCTTTGGCCGATCGCTACCATATCGTAATCTGCTAGTTAAATTCGACATTGCCTTCTTCTAGGTCTGTCCTGTTTCCAAAGTTCAACCCAATACTTAAGATCAATAACATCCTACTAAATCTTAAGAAACCACCTCTAAATGTCAACCATTTACCTCTAAATGTCAACCATCCACCTCTAAATGTCATGTCAACAATCCACCTCTAAATGTCAACCATCCACCACTAAATGCCAACCACCCACCTCTAAATGTCAACCATTCACCACTAAATGTCAACCATCCACATCTAAATGTCAACCACCCACCTCTAAATGTCAACCACCCACCTCTAAATGTCAACCATCCACCTCTCAATGTCAACCATCCACCTCTCAATGTCAACCATCCACATCTAAATGTCAACCATCCACCTCTAGATGCCACCAATCCACCTCTAAATGTCAACCATCCACCTCTAGAAGCCACCAATCCACCACTAGATGTCACCCATCCACCTCTAGAAGCCACCAATCCACCACTAGATGTCACCCATCCACCACACACTCCACCAATTCACTGCTCACGTCCACCACTGACCTGCACGTGAAATGTTTTTTGGCGGGGTGATGGTACCCGAGCAGGAGTAGCTCGTGTCAGTAGAGGTGAAGGACGACACGCTCCGGTAGGAGTCACGGTTCAATAGGCGCAGCTCGATCGTCCGGTAGTTCTTCAGGACAAAGTTGTCGCCTGCAAGTGGACAAATAGGTGTTAGAAGATTGGGGGTAGGGGGGTTGGGGTGGGGGTGAGGACAAAGTTGTCGCCTGCAAGTGGACAAATAGGTGTTAGAAGATTGGGGGTAGGGGGGTGGGTGGGGGTGAGGACAAAGTTGTCGCCTGCAAGTGTGGACAAACAGGTGTTAGAAGATTGGGGGTAGGGGGGTTGGGGTGGGGGGTGAGGACAAAGTTGTCGCCTGCAAGAGTGGACAAACAGGTGTTACAAGACTGTAGGGTGGGGGTGGGGTAGTTCTTCAGGACAAAGTTGTCGCCTGCAAGTGGAAAAATAGGTGTTAGAAGATTGTGAGGTGAGGGGGGGGGGTGAGGGCAAAGTTGTCACCTGGAAGCGTGGGAGGTTGGTTCGAGGGGGGGGGGGGGTAAAAACGGCATCATGTTAAGTCATGAAGTAAACAACCAATCACATTTCAACTTTTGTACAAGACCATTAGCTTGATCCAAACTCTTCTGTTTTAAATATGTGATGCTACATCGTCAAATCCTATTTTTATCGATTGTTTTCCCTGGCAATTTTAGAAAGCGATCTGCTTGTATTATCGTGTAATTATCGCTTTTTTAAAAACGTATTTAAATGAATAAAGCAGAGCAAAGACTTTTGCGGTCAGATTTCAGTTTATTTTCGAGCTTCTCAGCCACCAGTTAGCTAAACCACCCGAACCACCCGAATCACCTAAACCACCCGAACCACCCTACCACCTAAACTACCCGAACCACCTAAACCACCTAAACCACCCGAACCACCCGAACCACCCGAACCACCCGAACCACCTAAACCACCCAAACCACACAAACCACCCAAACCACCTAAACCACCCGAACCAGTGTACCATGAACCACCGAGGGTTTCAATACGATGGCCACAGCTGTATTCTAACCGTGTGTATCATTCAAGTTCTTTCAATAATGCTCCAATCTAACCTATGTACACATACCCCGGTCTAACCTGCTGTGTTGTTGTTTTTTAATCCATTCAATTTATCACAAAACACAGCCAATCAATCGATTTGTTCTCCTATTCAATTGTTCTTGAAAATTTAGTTCTATAAAATTTTATCCCGGCCTGGGTTATTTTATTAACGTCACGTGACCGCTCTTATCGTTGTACAACATCACAAACAAAGCCACGCCCCCTCCCTAGAATAAAACATTGTCCAAAACCAATAATTTGACCCCCCCCCCCCCCCCCCCCCCATAGCCCAGGTTCTCGTGAAACTAACTTTGGCCACACAAGATTATTTGCAGCCAAACTAGACATTGTTAGCCAGAGTTTTACCGGAATCCGAAGTACATTTGACCCCGTTTACCTTGACTGTGTTCACCTTGACCCTATTCCATTTGACCTTGTTTACACTTATCTCTCGTTAGATTGACCTTGATAAAATTTTCACCTTGACCTTGTTTAGTTGCTGTATGATATATGTTAAGCATAGTGTCCCTTTGCTGTGGTATGTTGCTTGTGAACTTTGAAAAAGGAAATTTCTAGAATGACGGCATATCGAACAACAAGCAGCGCTGATTACATGCGTGTGCTTGCTGGGTCGCTAATCTGACCTGCGATGGAGGATCAGCGCAAATATTTGTCGAGGAAATATTTTTTGTCAAGCTGCGTCATGCAGCATTTTTTAATGAGAATATATTTTCTTGTTGTTGCAAAATCTTAATGATACAGCCCTAACAACATCAGGAGCTGCGTTGCTATCTATTATAGCAGGGGTCTCCAAACTACGGCCCGCGGGCCGGATGCGGCCCGCGAGATCCTCTCATCCGGCCCTCTGAGATCTTTTTGTCCACGGGAAAAAATGTTTGTTGGAGGTGGCTGAGGCAAAATTCAAAACAAACTGAAAATGTAGTATTTGGGTGCAAATACCATTGAAGCAAATGCGTCCGGTTGCCCAGCAAATGAACTCCTTAAAGACAAGTTAAAATAAGGGCGGGTGGGTTTTATAAGTATTTGTCCAAGGAAGACTTTCTTAATATTAAAAAAAATGTAGCTTTCAAATTTTGGAAGAACATACAAACTTTATCAAGAATGAAGTAGGCCTACGCGAAGAACAATTTGAGAACAAACTTGGACCTCGAGTGCGTTGTCGGTCCCCGACAGGGTTTCTTTCATACTTTATATATATATATATATATATATATATATATATATATATATATATATATATATATATATATATATATATATATATATATATATATATATATATATATATATATATATATATATGTGTGTGTGTGTGTGTGTGTGTGTGTGTGTGTGTGTATATATGTATGTATGTATGTATGTATGTATATATATATATATATATATATATATATATATATATATATATATATATATATATATATATATATATATTTCTATATAAATTAAACTCCTTTGGGGGGGGAGGGGGGGCTCCACCACCCCGAAGAGATGCCTGGAAGAAACTGGCCCCCGAACTATTTGATAGTTAATGCGGTCCTTGGGCTGAAAAGTTTGGAGACCTCTGTTTTATAGGATGATAAGTTGCCATGGTAATAAAGTCACGACGCAATAATCAATTAAGATGAATAGAAGCAAGACAAACATACTTAGTATGTAGCATCAGTCACTAGACCGTTAGGGTTAAAAGGCAAGTTGTGGGTGTACCGTTGATTTAAAAAGAGATTGAAGTAAAGGATTTTGTATGGAACACAAAACTTGTTGGCACTCTTTACGTTAACCCTATAGACATTAACCCTGAATGCCCTAATCCTCTAGGCATTAACCCTCTAGGCATTAACCCTCTAGGCATTAACCCTCTAGGCATTAACCCTCTAGGCATTAACCCTCTAGGCATTAACCCTCTAGGCATTAACCCTCTAGGCATTAACCCTCTAGGCATTAACCCTCTAGGCATTAACCCTCTAGGCATTAACCCTCTAGGCATTAACCCTCTAGGCATTAACCCTCTAGGCATTAACCCTCTAGGCATTAACCCTCTAGGCATTAACCCTCTAGGCATTAACCCTCTAGGCATTAACCCTCTAGGCATTAACCCTCTAGGCATTAACCCTCTAGACATTAATCCTCTAGACATTAACCCTCTAGACACTAACACTCTAGGCGTTAACCATCTAAATTTCAATTTTGAAGATTTATTTTCTTGATGAATTTAATGTCAATCTGTGTATGTAGAATTGTTAGAATGTATGTAAAAGTGCCGCACACATTCGAGAGTGCAAGCACGAGCTCATATCTAGAAAATATGTAGACGGTATGTAATGAAGACTCCCGTAAACTATGTGCTATACATCGCAGAAAGAAAGCTCCTGTTGGCTGAGATACTCGGCCAGCTCTGAGATATTAATCAAAGACACTGAAAGTCATCACGCACACAGAACCAAACGGAGTTATCCATCAAAGACACAGACGTGAAGAAATTGCCTTGTCATATTTTCTGAGGTCAGCGTGATCTTGGAGGATACTCTCACATACACACAGGTCTACACACAAACGCACACACACACACCGTCTCTCTTTACACGCACTCATTCATAAACACATGCGCACATGGGCATGTTACGATTATTTGTTCATTTGTCTGTGGGTATGTGGCTTTGTGTGTCTGTAATTGTAATTATTATTTAGCACTGTATTTAATATTATACTATCGGTTAATAGGTGGATGACATGGTCGAAAGATAGAGCATTTGGCTGTTGGTCCGAACGTCTCGAGTCTGGACCTCGGTTCGGACATGTGACTGTAGGACGTCCCTGAGTCCACCCAGCACCATGGTTACGTAACTTACCTTGGGGAAAGTGAAGGCAGCTGAGCACAGTGCTGTGCTGACCACACTATCCCTTCATATGCCGGATTCAACATATGAACTCTACTTCATCTGTCCAATGGAACGCCATGTCTAGAGACGAACTTTATCGGTAAATAGCCTACTTTGAAAGATCCAAAAGAATATTGATGAAGTTATGTTAATCCAGATTTATAACAACATTTATTCACGCTCGCCCAATCTGACCAATCGATCAGGTTTCGCTGCATATTTCAAGGGTTATTTGTCCTGTGAATAAAGATTAACGACCTTTTTTTAGCTGTGCGTCAAAACGAGTTTCTTACCCTGAAGAGAGTTGCGTCACCTGGTTCTATATAAAGTACTAGTAAAAACAAAGCGGGGAGGTAATTCTGGCGTCTACAATCATAGCGCTTTGTGCTGGCGGATCAGCGTGAAATATGGGAATGGACATAGGGCAATCATAGAAATCCCATTTCATATCACGAGACAAATGGGATCCGTAGGTTAGACGTGTGGAAGAGGAGAGGGGGGGGGGGCAGTAGGTTTAGCCAGTATTCTGCCAAAAATGGGATTACATCTGGTGGGGAGATTGACAAGTTTTGTGTATCTGGGATTAGGATTTGTATTGACAAGCTTTGTATATCTGGGATTAGGATTTGTATTGACAAGCTTTGTATATCTGGGATTAGGATTTGTATCGACAAGCTTTGTATATCTCGGATTAGGATTGGTATTGACAAGTTTTTCAAACGTAATCTTGAGGTGTGTATCATTTTTTTTCGTTAGTCCAGAATAATGCAGGCCTGTTTATAATTATTTGGCATTGTTAGACATTTTTAATTTAATTAAAACACAACTGACCTAGCTGATCTGTATGTCCAAAACTCAACAGACCTTTGGGGTCGTCCATAAATGACGTCACATTCATAGGGGAGGGGGGTCCGTAATTTAGTGACGGTGTGTGATGATGGGGAGGGGGGTTCAGAGGGTGTGACATCACACCTTTGCATTATATAAAAGCGATGTTAGAAAACGAGTTTTAGCCGCTATTAAGCGTTTTAAAAAACTGTTGACAGAGTTCAGACAAGATTTTGGAAAAAAATGTTTTTAGAAAAATTCAACTGCAATTTTGAGGGGGGGGGTTGTAGGCTGAGGTGTGACGTCATTTTAGGGGGGGTG